ACATTTCTGAGAATAAAAAAAAAACATTGTGACATATTAAATTTTCCCAGCTTTCTTGCATTAATCTCTACTTATTTGCAGTTCCTCCTTTGTTTGGGAGAATCAGCAAACTATGAAACATCCTCTATTACTTGCAGTAATCATTTGACCACAAGATAACAATGACCGCCATTTCAGTAATATCCAAATAGCAAAACAGATGTGGCTGTTCTTCTGCTGAAGCAATTTTGATTTTGGACCAAGTTAACACACCCCTGTTGATCAATTTTGCAAGACACACATACACGCTAACAGAAGAAGGCCATGCACAAACTACTCCAAAACATGGGTCTGAAACGCATTTCACAGCAGCTAAAATCTGTACATAATCGCTAACACGTTTACTTTAGAGACTCAGAAGTGCCCATGTTTGTTGTTTTTATATAATATCTTTATTTACATCAAAGTTAACCATATCTGAACCTCAAGGAAAGAGTCCAGCTCATTTAAGTGTCTTGACATTGTGAGTCATAAGCACTGGCTCTGTTGTGACTACCCTCCAGGACTGAGACATGGAATTGACCCAAGACAATACTATGTTTGCAAATCCTTAGAGATGTGCTGTTTTCAAACATGGTGCATTACTATCATTATTTGAACAAATGTAATAATAAGCAATAAAACAAAATTGAAGTGTTAGTACAAGGAAGATTCTTGCACTAGAAGAGTTTCAAACTAGAGGGGGCTGGTAGAATAACCTAACAAAATAACCAAATGACAATAAAACCAGCACAAATTGGATAACATTTTAACACTTAAAGCAGTCTACAGATGAGAATACCAAGCATTCAAGTGAACTCAATGGGTAGAGTATACTTTCCAGGTTTACGGTGAATAAGTGCAATTTACATAAATTACATGGCAAGTCCGGGAATTAACAACATAACTGCCATAAAGCATGAGAGAACAGGCGCCTCACTGAATGCAACATGTATCTTATGTTTAATTTAAAGGAACAAAGGAAAAACAGAATTATCAATAAAGATACAATGGTATCTACCAAAGGACTTTACAACTACACGTATCAGAGGCTTGTTAAGAACGTCCCATACAGACATCCCAAGTTAAGCATTGTAAGGTGAATACCCTTCTCAAAACACGTACTATGGAAATGATTTGCATACCACTAGTATAGTAAAATACGTCAAAAAAAAAAAGGTGCGTGTCCCTAATCGGCACAGCTCTCATCTCGTGATAGGGCGTACTTTATGACTCAAGATAAAGTATGTCTTCCTTAGGAAATGTTTGCCGCCGTATAAAGGTGTAGGGTTCACTGACAACAACATCGCATTAAGTCAGGACGTGTGGGAAATTAGGAGGAGCTATATGAGGCAATATTTTTGTAGAATACAAAAACCACTGACTTTACGATCTAAAACCCTCCTCCAATTTCGAGTTTGTTAAATACACTTACTGTATGCACGCGATAAAAAGGAAACATGTTGGTTTGCAGAATGACACGGACGTCGGAAGACCAGTGGTGAAATTAGGTTGCTTAGAAAATCTAATTCGACAGTGTACAGAAATGTCCAAATAGCCTGAGCTTGACTTCAATCTTAAAATAAGAAAGGAAACCTGACAATGAAAGCTTCAGAACACAGCGCCAGTATTATATTTATGTTCAGTCAAGAAGAGAGGTTTTCAATTAATGTTTGCCATGCCCTTTAAATTTTTGGCATGATAGATACTTTATTGATCCCGTGAGGGAAATTGCAGTGCAACAGCAGCTTAACACACACAACACAGCCACAGTGTAACGAATTATATAATAATAGTACAATACATACAATACAATACAAGAGTTACTCACAGTCCGGACACACAAGAACAAACTAGAACAGAACAGTACACAGAAAAATCGTATCACACATATGAATATAAATATAGATGTAAATATAGATATAAATAGAAATGTATTGCACAGGTCCCTGGCATATATTGCACAAAAAATGGTTGTAAACGGGAAAAAGAAAAAGAAAGAGAACAGATGAAGCAGTAGATGTGTAGATGCGTTTAGTCCAGAAACAGGTCACTGTCGATGTTGCCTCTGCCCAGACGCAAGGTGGATGCGTTGTACAGTCTTATGGCAGACGGCAAGAATGACATCCTGTAGCGCTCCCTGTCTCACCGTGGATGAATCAGTCTATTGCTGAACGTGCTCTTCATTCCTGCAAGCCTGTCATAGAGGGGATGGGAGAAGTTGTCCATGATGGCCTCTAGTTTGGACATCATTCTCCTCTCAGCCACTACCTCCAAGGGGTCCAGGTCAGACCCAATGACAGAGCTTGCTCTCCTGATGAGCTTGTTCAGCCTATGGTTGTCTGTCTGGACTTTTTTTTAAATTAACCAAATCATTTAAATAGGCCAGCTGCTGATGCTTGTCTAGTGATTGAAGACGCGTCTAATCATGGCTTCTGATTATAGCACGTAATTGTGCAGTATGATCTTGAATTAGACATTTTCTATCACAAATACAGTAACTTGTTTTATGTTCTAAAGTAGTAAAAAGCAATCAGTTCACCAGAGCCTTATGACAGAATGCAACACACTAACTCTAGTTTTGGATTGGCCTGCTAGAATAACTCTTCTATATAAAAAACAAATGGCAAAAAAATAATGAATGTATGAAAGTAATGTACAAATACAGAGGGTCCTCATCACACGCTGGGGTTAGGGCAGTGGTGGCTGTCTGTGTTTGTAGTGACAAAGGTGTATTTGTCTGTATTTGTGGTGACAAAGGTGTGTTTCCCAGAGCAGGGTTGCACAAGACTGCTTTAGCCCTAAATGAAATACCAGAACGAAACAAAGGATACAGACCTTTAATCCAAGGAACGCACCCAGCCGTCTCTTGAAAGACACCAGGGTGTTGGTTTCAACAGCGTGGCGGGGTAGCTTGTTCCACATTCCCACAACCCTTTGGCTAAAGAAATGCCTCCCGTTCTCGGGTTTAAATGAAATGCACTCCCACGCAGTTCCCACCTGTGTCCTCTGGTTTGATATTTCATTGTTCATTTGGCTCTGACATTGCCTTTGGAGGAGTTGGAAAACTCGCGTCTGGTCCCCTCACTGTCTTCTCAGTCCGGGACTCCAGACACAGTGGAATCAGCGAGAAATATGAGTTGCGTTTGTGTGAGGAGACTCGTTCATCTCTAGGAGAAACGTACGCAGAACTTCGAGAGGCAATGGGGCTGAGCTCCACTTCACACCCACGCTTCAGTTAACCCCCCACTATTTGTAAATTACGCACTAACTAAAAGGGGGGGGAAATGATTTTCCAGAAGCCTCTTGCTTCTGCATCCTGAACGGGGATTTTAATTCTTTAAATTGGTGATTAACGGGTGGGTTTAAGTTTAAAATTTAATCCAGGCCTTTGTAATATCCCATCCCTGATGCTCGATGGCCTTGGAAGTGCGGACTCTGGACAGCAGAGCAAGGAGGCAGAAACTGGCTTTACACGTGTCCGCCAAAGATACGGGAAAATTCACATTGTCGTTCATGCGCAGAGGGACGAATTTACCATAAACGTCCTGCACTGACTGTTGTCTTGGAAAAACAGTTACTTCCAAATCATCGCCCTTGCCTGCGCTCAGTGAGCAACGTGATGTTAATAGATTTTAAATTAACAAATAGAACGGGAATCTTAAATGCATTAGGATTAGTACAAGTACCTAGGATAACCAGAAGATGGCAGCCGAATCACAAGTAAGTGCATGGTATTTACCAATCAGACTCCTGCCTAGCAACACCAGTGAAAAATCCCCATAGAACAGACTCATTAGCCTCACAGGAGTCAGACAGTAGCTACTGTACTGTACATGTTCAGGTGAGTTCACATTTCTGCACCACAAACACTTAAAAAACATGGCAAACTGTGTAAGCGCGCACTTTTCAAATCTGAAATGTCTGGATGGGTTCAGCAATCAAACGTCTCAACAAAAGAGGCGTTCGTGCGTATTAATATGGGGACTGAAGTCTATTTTTTAAAATTACTTTTCTGAATGATGGACAGTCATCGCTGGTGGGTTTCCAATGTGAGCTGTGTAATATTCTTGATTATTATTATTATTTTTATCTCCCTTTAATTTCCTTAAGAATAATAAACAAGAAAGTTAAATATAAAATTCTACGTTAGAATTATAAATGTTGTTAACTTCAAAAATCGTTATGAATCCACAAACATTCATGTTCCTGGACTGCGAAGTATTTTGTGTGTGGGTTTTGAACAAGTAGAGGAGATGATAACTAAGATTAAGAAATAAGGACAGGATTAAAGAGGATAAACAATATGAAACCGATTACTTCAGGAGTCATACCAGATTTGGGAAGAGTTCATGCCAAACAGAGGATTAAAAAAATTTAAATGTTAAAAAAAGATATGATATTCAGAAAACACTGTCAGAATGAATGGAGATTAACAGTCACCAATTTACATTCCTTCTAAAGTAAGAGACAACATTAAAGACATTTCCATTTCAAACTAATTATATGAACGACAGCATAACAAAGAATCTGGCAAAGCAATATGTAACTACTGTATGTTTTTAAGTCATTTTTACTTGTAACATAACACTCTATCCCAAATTTATCAAGTATTGTATGACATTGTTTTAGTACACTGACCGCATTTAGAATATTTTGATCAGCTCTGGTCTCCAGGATACAGAGAAAGTAACTGGTGCATTACAATCAGATCACAGGAGAGTAACCAGGTACAGTACATGGTCCATGAGCTCAAAGGACTGTCCTACACCGGCAAGATTAAAGAACGGAAACTTTTCCAGCTCAGGATCTAGCTACTGACTCCTGTTGTTGGATCTGATACTCTTACTTCTTTCAAGAATAGGCGTGCTGAGATCCTCTGATCAATTAACATCTGAAGGTCAACTGTTCCAGTTGGTCCAAAAGACTCTCTCTCATTTACAGACGTTTACATTCTCACGCACAACAGGACGAATCCTGTTATCAACTGTCTCACACTGCTGGGACAGTGGATTACAGCTTTACATCTGTAAGGCAATTCCATGCTAAATACCTGGAGTGAATACCTTTGTAAATAAAGATGATGGTTCATGAATGCGGGAACAGCATTTATTTGAAAGTTTTTTTTTTACTAATTAATAAAGGTTTACAAAAACAACATGTTCAGCTACAGGAAGGCATTTTATTGGCACTTGGAAAATGTACTTTACGCAGACTGTGATACTGTGATACTTGGATACTAATTATTTGCACTATTAAGTAGTTTAGAAGTTTTTTTGAAAATAAAATACCAACAAACTCTACAGTATAGCTCCCAGGGACCTTCGTAATCAAAAACAATCACAATGATTTTTTTCCCCCGTTTCTCCTAATATCAGTGCATCCCCTAGCTCAAATCTGTTGATAGCTTAGGCAGGGCATGAACCCTCCCGCTCCACGGATACACGATACGATGCGTAAAGACCAAAACGGACCTTTCAAGAAGGCGGAGGCGATATGTGCAATTTGTTCAGACGAGGCGACCGTGCAGCCTCGCTTGTTCAAGGTCGGCGCTGCTTCTGAAGGCAGCAGCCGGCTGTGCGTGACAGAGGCGTCGCCTCTCCGCAGTGACGCAGCGCACCCCAGCCGAAGCGCAGCCTGTTGAGCTGCCGGGAGAGGGCTAAGCTCCGAGATCCTGCTCCTGTCAGCTTCGGGACGGAAAACTTCTTCTTCTTCTCCTCCTTTTTTTTTTTTTTTAACTCCAAAAGGACATCTCGGCACGCGTCAGGCTGAAGGGAAGAGCGCGAGTGAAATCATGTCTTGGTGCTCCGAGATAGAGAAGAACTCCACCGAGGATGATTGTGTGGACTCGGGAGCTGAGACCGGAGGGTGAGTCGAGACTAGCGGGGTACAGCCGACTAGCGGACTACGAGGGCGAAAATGTTCTGCGCGCTGGCTGCAGCCTTTTTTCTCTTCTCTCTCTGTCGCAATCACTTGGACCGATACTGGAAAAGACCGGCATAACAGAGCAGCCGAGTTTAGTGTACAGATCCTTCTGTCTCCGAAACCACGTTAAGGTATTTTGACAGCGCACAGGCTGACGTAAAGTTCCATCTCGAAATTGTTTATGAGCACCAGAGAACTTGAATAACTTTTTAAAAGCCGCACTTCATTAGCTGAAGGATAACCTCATCCACCTGCTGTGCGCAGTCACAAAGCAACAAACATCTGGCTAAAGCCATGCTCCATGTCGGATGATAACGTTATGATGTATTCGCATAGATGCGCGGTTTTGTGGAAATACATACGACGCAGAAGGATTTAACGTTCTGACATGTATTTAATGTCCGTTTGCAGCTTTGGTTACTAAGCAAAGATGATTGGGTCTGTTCCTGGTGTACTGCTAGGTATGTGGCTGTTAGAGCAGTTTCTGAATGTGCTGGCGAAGGTGGTTCTGTGTGTGTTAGTAAGTGTAGAGCAGGGGTGGCCAGCCTTGGCTCTTGGTTTCATTTTGAGCCTCCCAATGAATTCATTACTGAATTGATTCTTAATTGCTTAATTAATCCTGATGCTGAAGACCACTCAGATAATACAGTAGGATTGTCTTTAGGATAGACTCGCAATGCAGTGGAATTGAAGAGCCAAGGTAGACCACCCTCTGTTTTAGAGACTAGCAGTCTGTAGGATGTTGATGTGCTGTGATTACGTCCTTGATTCTTCGTGAGTGTAATGAAGAGGGAAATGACAGCTGTGTTAATTTTAGGCATGCACTCCTGGTACCATGCAGTTCGGTGTGATTCACAGCCCTGTAGTTTCATGTGACCACCTGTCAAGCACACATTATTGATGTACACTTGAAGTGTACTTCAAGTGGAAATCTCAACTCTATAAACTTTACAAAGCTAGTGAAAACATTTTTTTTTCAGTACAACTCTTCTCAAATATTTATTTTCCATCATAGATGCATATGTTACCATAGGTTGGAAAGACACAGGGTTAGGTTAAGATTGATTCTTAAAATCATAATAACACTTCATAATAACTATATCTTCAGCATGGATATTCTTTTAAGAGCACTTTACTCATTCCTGTGTCACTGCCTGTGTTAAACTGTTGAAGATACCTACTATCAACCCAATGAGGAGAGTGAGCTGAAAGGCATCCTGTTATTGGTAAACATTCTTCCCTTTTTATGTTTCTCTTTATTTTCAGTCTCATAGTGAGGTTATTTTGCTTTCTATTATTTTATCATGGCTTAAGCAATAATAAAGCTGATATGGCAAGTGAAAAGCTCATTGTCAAAGTCTGTGACTGGTTGACAGAGATGCCTCTCCAGATGGCCAGTGACAGCACACATCCTCTTTAAAAAAAATAAAACACACACCCCGATCATTTTGGTACCCGCTGTGCCAACGTCATTATGCAGATTTGCTGGATAATCCTTTGAGAAACAATGGTTTTTCTCATTAGTGTCAGAAGGAGCATGTTTGTTTTTCTGTTCTATTCTGCCAATAGAATGCTTTGTTTTTTACTTTCACACGATATCAGGTTGTTTATTGGCTTTCTCTCATCTGTGCAAAATTTACTGCTTGAAATATTTGCTGATGTTTAGCTGTGTATTCTAGCGTGTATAAGGTCATCTAAAATGTTCCTTTTCCCTGAGATAAATGGATGATAGAGAAATTCTGTATAGTAAACAGTTTTCTAAAGATTCTAAGGTTTATTTAATCAAAACCTTAACCTGTAAGTGTCATGAATTAGCCCAACAGTTATTAAGTATCCATAGTATTAGTTTTTCAGGCCTTTTTTTGTTAGGTTTGTATTCATTAAAAGCACATGACAAATTTTGGCATTATTGCGTTTTCTTATGTAGAGAGTTGATAGAACATAAAATACAATGAAGGGAAAACAGAGGCTGTTTTTAATCTGGGTTCAGGTGATGTACCTCTTTATGTGCATTTTATTAGTGGGATCATAAAAATTCAAGACCAAATTGCGTAGGTTACTGCCGTGGGTGACTCATAACAATGTTTTTAGTTGTCCATTCCAATAAGGGAAAGATATAATAGTTAAGATAGAAGAACTGTGTGTTGGGGCACCTGTTGATGATCTAAAAATTAAATGTGTCTGAGTATTTTACGTCCACCAGGAACACCTTGTGTTCCTCGAGATTCTGCAGCATTCTGGAGTGCATGAGTATGATTTGGCACAACACTGGAATCTTCTAAACATTTGGGCCTGAAGTTCAAAGGCAGAACATTAATGAGATGTGCCAGCTGACTGCGCTGCGCATTGCACCTTGTGAGCTGGACAGGCACTCAGTGTAAATTGGAAGCTTAGGACAAACATTGTTTTGCTAATCCAATCAGAAGAGAGTCTCTGGACAGACTCCTCTCTGCCTTTCCCAAATGGGTTTGATGAGGACTTAGAACATTTTGTAATGCAGGATAATAGGATGTTAGCCAGCTTATTCATGGGCACACACTCAATCCACTTGACCAGCAGGTTTCCAAAAATAATTAAGTAAATGCAATGTTTAACTTAAACTGCCAGAACAGTTGTATTCAGCAGAAGGCATCAGTTTGTGGTATGATGGGAAAAAAGAGTAAAGTTGAAAAGAACAAATAAGTTAAATGAAAATCCAATAAAGGGCTTAGTTACCCATCCCTGTAGCTAGGTGTGTTTGAAAAATGGCAGTGGCATGCTTTGGGACATACAGGAATCTGATACTGCTGTTTATCTTCATGTCTAATGAAAAAGGAAATCATATCAATATTGGCATCATTTAAAATATGCAGGATGTTTTTCAAGAGAATATTCAGATAGCAGTAACCACGTGTTCAGGCACATAACAGTTTTCAGACAGAGTGGGTAGGACAGATTCCCTCAAAAGTTTTTCAACAAACGTTTTCTGATAAAAAATTCTTCAGATTACCCTTGAAAGTTGAAACACAGTTATGGAAGAGCTTTAAAGTAAGCCTGCATTCATGCAGACACCAGAACAGAATCCTGATGACAACAAAGAACTTGAAGGTTTGTGTACCTGACCTGTGAGCAGCGATTATGAACTCATAACCAATATCACAACCTTCAGTTTCATTTGTTTCAAGTTTTGCGTTCATTTAACCTTTCAATTCTCTACATGCAGAACAAAAAATGTATAATTTTACCATGGAACACATACTGTAACTGAATATATGTTTAGGATTAAGAATTTAAATCTTTTAACAGGGTTACTTCAGCAGAAATATTTACAGATTGCGATATTTCAGCATGTCCTTGTAAACGTGTAAAAGCCGTGTGGAAGTAGATTTTGTACACTGTAAGACATGGACTAACAAGGGGGGATCTGTTATGTTTGCACAATTGATTATGGAGTTTTCTTTCTAAGGTATTTGTGTTTGGGATTATGCAGAATGAAAGCAGCACACAAGAGGTGTTAATCCTTTGTTCTAAATCTCTCTTTCCTGTCCTCTTCATTATCAGTTGAGACAGTGTTACATGCCATTCCAAACTTGTAATCTTTTTCCAGAAGTTTTCCCCTTAATTAAAAGGAATCATTATTGTTCACAGACCAATCCTTTGTTAAGAACTCTGTGTGAGAAGACAGTGGCCTGTTCTATCAGGAGAACTATTGAAAAAATTCTCAAAATGTTAAACCAGCTACTATAAGGTATTAACACCAAGTTAACACCATTTTTTTCCCTTGAGCAAGAGCCTGAAAAAACATGTTTGTCTATTTAAATAAAAGATATTTGTCCTTGTATTATCTTTAAACTCACAATAGTGTCACTCAGAAATCATAGTGAATCATAATTTGTCAGTTTCTTTAATGACACAATTATTTCAGGAAATTTCGAACTTCAAAAGATTTGGACAGGTTCCAGTATAAGAGATTTTCTTCAGATCTCTATAATGTTGTTAAGGTGATCTGGTCACCTAGAAGATATAAATTTAAATATAAAGCAGAGGAGAAGGTGTAGCCCCAACACTAAATCACAACCTCACTTCTCCGAGAATGTGAGCTCCGCACTTCCAGACCCTGAGGAGTTAGCAGAGCTGGACAGAGAGCTTCAGTCTACGAAGTATTATCACTTTCAGTCTGCTTGGGGGAAGAGCTCTTTAAACACGCCAGACAAAAAATATACAACTCACTCCCCGCCTCAAAGAGAGCAGGAAACTGAGTATGCTGCCTGGTGCTACTTCAAATTCCCCATGACAGTGGAAACAGGAATTGCTCTGTTGGGGCGGAAAAGAAAAATTGATGCATGTGGACCTGTGTTTTGTTCATTGTTCTGTAAACTGGTGTCAAACCTCTTCTAAAGGTCCTGGCATATTTTTGGAACACGTCTAAAGCAAACACTAGGACATTGAACATTCGACTCTTATGAAGCAGGGTGCGCTCCATTGAGTGCCTCCAAACTGGAATTCAAACCCTCTTTTTTGGGACCCAATAGGACCCAATCGCTCCTGTCTAGTACTGCAGATAATGTCAAAAAATGTCTGAATGCCCTGCGAAAAGAATTCTGTTAACTAAGTTTCAATCAAGGAATATTCCAAAATGGTCAGAAAGGCCACGTATAGGTCATATACATATTATAGTACAGATACTTTACTAGGTTTATACAGACGCCCCTTTTTATCCAAATCCCGAGTTAGCAGAGGTGAGTTGATTGAACGCTGCGTTATTAAGCGTGCTCACCGTTAATTTACATTTTGAGTTGAAGATTTTTGTGACAGCACCCAAAGCTCCCCAACACCATGCCAGTCAGAACCAAGGTTTCCTCCACATCGTCTGTTTTTAAATGAGTGTTCATGTGCGGGTGAATTCGACCATCCGCCCAAACATCATCGAAAAACCAGCTGCAAAAAGTGAAAATGCTACAGGGTCCCACACTTCTACAAAAACAGACAGACTCCAAGCACCAGCAGCAGTGTTCTCCAAATATTTCCTTTGTTATCTATGGCTTTTTAGGTCAGTAGCAGGGAAAAAGGTGTTTCACCGAAGTCTTGGTGTTGGGCTTTCTTTTTGTGGAGTCGCCTGGCTAAAATGTTAGTTAAGAATAAGCAAAGAGTAAACATTTTGAGTATGCAACCTCAACATGTCCTAACTCACAAGCCCCAGTTTTTCAACTTGATATCGAGTGTTCTGAAATCTAGCCTGAAAACTTTTTAGGAAGGATTTTAAGAACGTTTTTTTCTCTCCCGTGTTCGTCTTCTTAAGGTGACATTTTAATGCTGCAAAGAGCGAAAAAAGGTGTGTCTTTTTAATACATGCAGGGATACAAGAGGAAATATGGAGAACGAAACGTGTGGTGCAGAGAAAACGTTTATGAGGCATTATGAGATCATCTGGAACAGATGGGACTTCTGTGAGCTGACAGGTTCTACCTGAACCAGAGGAGGACCGCTGCACTGGGGACAGTACTGAGCAGCTGAAGAGTATTTAGACCAGTAACCCGCAGGATAATTCTAGGGGGATCAAGAAAGATTGGGGCCACACTGAGAACAAACTTAAACCGAATAACAGCTCCCATTCTTAAACAGCTCAATGGTAGAAGCCTCATGGGTAAAAGGCAGTCACTGTAGGCCACTGCAGTAACAGATAAACAGTCCTGTGGGAATAGCTGACTGGGGGAAGATGATATGGATGAGTCTAAAATGAATGGATATACTTTTATTGGGTGACAGGCAGGGAAGAAGGTACTGGTGGGGTGGGCTTATAAATCAAAAAATCCCTGCAAGCTAGGTACCACAAGCAAGAGGGTATAGGCAGTGTAAATGGCTATTAGGGTTCAATCAGAGTTAACACTAGGTACATAATGTAGACACCGGGGCAAGTAAGCTACCAAATGATGAGGTCAGGAAGGAATGTAGCAAAGGCAATGTTACTGTATGTTAATGGGAGATTTTAATGGTCCATGTATAATTTAGGACGCTCTAATGAGCATAACAGAAGCCGAAATGGATATGGCTGGAGTGGATAATGATTGCTTCTTGGCCCCATTTGGAAAGAAAACTACTAGGAAGCTGTTATTGGCTTTTTCTAACACCCATAGGGCAGTAGATGTGATAGAACAAGTGGGATAGCGTGATCATAGTTTGATCATTTTAATGTATATTTTTAAATCATGAAACCATTAGTGATCTGATTTGGGTATTAAGATTTGAGGTGGAATAAAAACCTCCAGACACACCAGGCCTTCAGGACCAGGATTGCCAATCCTTGATGTAAAGAGTTCCCCACAGAAGCAGCTATTTCTTTTACTCTCACTGGCATTTGGGAATAAATCACTTGTGTCAACTGTACTCGGGGGTCCAGACCTGGGTCTATCCCAACTTGTGCTATTGTCTGCCTGTCTGGGCTCCAGCTCTCTGTGACCTTGTGTTGAACCAAACTGTTATTGAAAATGGATTGATAGATGGATGTACTCAGGGGCCGAACTGTTCTTTCTGTTGCAGGTCTGACTACAGCCCAATGTCTTCTGCTAGCAGTAAGTAAACTTTCTTGTTCATGCTTGGTTTCTGCATCTGACATCGTCAATGTTTAAATCAGCTGCACCTAAAATGTGAAGTTACACCATTCAAGGGTACTCTGCATTTCTTTGTCTCCAATAACAGAGACCAGATTTGGTTTCTCTATGCATGCATGAGTTCTGCAAAACTACCTTCAAACTGTGCAGCCGATCTGTACCCGTCTGCCCTGAGGCGTGCAGAATGGGCGACGGTAGCTCTTAACAATCACAGCCTTGGTTTCATTTTGTAAAAGCCCGGCGTGTTCCACATGTGTATTGTGACCTTACTGCTGCTGCCACAGCTAGTGTGGATCACAATACAGGGATTATGTCCAATATTAGACCATTAATCTCTGCTCTAGGAAATGGAATTAACCTAAATGAAGAACAGGAAACCCAGGCCACTGACAAAAGCACAAACCCGATTTTTGTGTTTTTCCTGTTAAATCCTGGCTGTGTCTACTCTGTATTGTCTTTGGGCATTACTCAGTAGCAGATGAAAACTGTGGCTTCCAGCACACTGCTCTTCCAAACTCTGCTGGGACCCTGCACAACAATGATGTGTCATTCCTCTTTGTTTCCTGAAGATGAACCACTCAAACGCTTAAGTGAAAACTTTGCTGAAAGTAGTTCTATTGTTTTGAAAAAAAGGACAAGGAAAAGTGGTGTTCAGCTTATTAAATACAGTTTGCACTGAAGGCAATATATCATGCTTTCTTGTGTTTTGGGTTTGGCCCGGATGAGGGTCTCCACCCTGTAGCTCTCTCTCAGCTCAAAAGCTCTGCAAATTCCAATAACTTTCTCCCCTCCCTCTGCCACAAGCACTGAAGGGCCTTCTTTCATTTCTGTACTTCAAAATTAACTGGAACTGTTGGTGACATATAACTGTTATTTCAGTCTGCTGAAGTAATTGTTCTTTCCAAAATTCTGGTGCTACTGTATGTTTTTCTCCACTGAAGGCAGTGCTGTGTGGAGCAGTTCAAGTGGGCAGCTGTGTCAGCACGCGTAGGTTGCAAAGGAACAAGTAAAGGTTTATTCCCTGCCGGAAAGCGAGGAAAAGACACACAGTGTTTCGGCTGTGGTGCCATCTTCAGGTGTGAAGAATTGTAGGTGGACTCCAGTTGCATCACAGAACTTACCATAAGCATCACCCCACTCTTTCTATAGTTTGTTTTCTGCCACATTGGAAGCACAGATCCATGCATCAGGGCAGACGCTGGAATGCCGGATCCTCTAACACTTTGTTTCTCTCGAGTGGGGCAGCTGTGCTTTTCTTTCAAGCGCAGGACCCTTTGGCCTACAATTGCCGACCTTTGCCTACTGGGGCAACTGAGCTGTCACTTTTTTTACATCTGCTGGCCTACTTGCAGATCGGGGGTTAACCTATATAAACAGAGACAGCCCCTGCTCTTTGCCGTGCCTGCCTTCTTTAAATTCGCTGGGCCTGTTTTCACAGCGGGCTTCTGGAAATGTGCTGACAGTCAGACATATAGGCAGGGATGTCCATCCTGTCTGCAGAACACAATTAATCACAGTAACGTGTTTATCTGTAAGGGAGGAGAAAACCAAGAGGGGCTTTTCCCAGGCACACAAATCCTGTCTGCTCTTCACAGGCCGATCACTGCGGTCCTTTCCTTTCTCCAAGAAAGCATCAAGCATCCGAAGTGACAGGAAACAGACTTGTTTTCAAAGACCGTACATTGAAGCCTAGTTTTCTGCAAGTTAAATGTATCGTCTCTGTGTGTATTGTAACACTAGAAAAGGAATTTTCCACTTTGTGCGTTTTTTAACAAGATGGCCAAAATTAGAACTTCAGTGAATTAGCACAGGCAATTTGCAGCTCTTGTTAAAAATGCTAATTGACTACACTTAAAGTTATTTATGAGAAAAACCTCAGTATTGGGTTTATTATCCCTGCGGTAGATTACATCTAAGGTTTAGAACAGGCAATTTGCTTTTGGGGAATAGTGGGTAATTTGATATCCGTAACTTGAGATCCATCTGAGGAATGTTGCTTTCATTGAGCTGCCGCCACGGAGAAAACAAAACAAAACTTAGGGTTTAAGGGGTATGGGGGGGGGGGATTGCTGGTCCTCTGATTATACCAAATTTTGTGCAATTTGCTTCAATGTTGCAGGAGTTAGCAGAAGACCTTCCTCGGGCTCTGTTTATTCAGGTCCGCAGAGACTAAATCAATGGGCCTGCTGTACTGTACACACAGCAGTGAACACGGTTCGCTGAAAAGCTGGCCATGACACGCACTCTCTCAATACTGTTTGAATTTACAACAGAACATTTGACTTCTGCTTTAACAGTCTTTCTGCTCACTTATATAATATCGTTAATGCTCTGCTTCATATTGTGTTTTGTGCCTTATAACAAACACTGACCTAGATTCTCGTGCACATGTGCTTTTGTACTTACTGCTGGGTAAGGCTGAAATATTGAGCAAAGGTTGCCAGGTTCTGGGGGTTGGGATGGGGAGTAAAATTACAAGAGATTTTCATTTTATCGTGATTAAACATTGCTCTCGTCCTCAGATTTTTGGGACCTTATGAACATGTACTGTACTTTATCCTCTGTCTGAGAACAGAACGATCATTCTTAGTGAAACCAACGCTGTGCTGTACACTGCCCTTTTATCCTATATTTCGCTTTTCAGTAAAGTCAAAAAGCTGTGAAATCAGCTTGTATCATTACGCTCCTCGCTTGAGTTTATGAGAAACATATGTAGCTGTTTATTTTAATTACTGCGAGATGTTCTCAGCACAGGCTGAGCTTTATTTTCTTCTGCAGAAAGAGCTTTTATTGCTGCAAGGATGAAGTCTGGAGTATGATTTGCATATACAGTAAAAGCTCTGTGAATCCTGGGAGAGAATGAGCTGATTAACCCATTGTTTCCCGTACAGCACCAAAGCAAACTACAGTATGTGCATCATCTGCAGCTGCTGTGTCTGAGTTTGTTTTCAGGCCTGTCAGAGAGAGGGGTGCACTTAAAGTGCCAGTTTCCGTTTGGCAGTGTGCTCTAACACAGTTCCGCTAGGAGAGGAAGTTCGCATCATAATCCAGTTTGACAATGAACAGGAGTTATTTCAAGCTTATGTTCTGTATATACTGTACAGTAACAACCCTGCATAAAAAAGCAAGTTACTTAGTATATTTGTAAATGCTTAAAAAATCCAAGAATCTGTCCCCAACTCACTGAAAACAGTTGAGGTGCTGTTAAATGACAAATCACACATAAATCAAGAGAACAGTTAAATTTAACTGTTGCATTTTAACATCTTACATTTTAACTGGTTTATTTGACGTTCATCAAACATTGGGCAGGGGACAAATGTCAGATTTTCACGTAAAATTAAAGCTTTAACCTTTTGATTTACAGTATTACGCCTTTTCCCTAATTTCTAAAAAGATTAACAAAGCTTCTGTAAACTTTGTTGCACATGTTTGGCAGCAGAGACATTTGCAAGCTGTCAGTATCACAAATATGAGAGGTTATACAGCTCTTTCACATGCAAACACTTCAGCTCATTCTGGGTAGTGTTTGGAGACCGTGCCACCCCCTGTGTGTTAGGTTAGCTGCATTAGAATATGTTGAGACATTTAATTGGTGTTTCACATAAAATATTAAAGATCTTTATTTCAGACTTTTCTTCTTTCTATTTTAATCTATTTTCTCACTAAAGTCACATGCTTGTGTCAGTTTCATGCTCTCAACTTTTTGAAATTTCTTTCAAACACTCCTTTTCGAAAGACTCTCCTCTTTAGGAATTGAATGATCAGGAAACACTGATCATTCACACAATGACAACACCCCCAAAGGAGCAGCACCCTTTTCCCACTTCCGTAATTCCCCCTTGACCCCTCTGACCCCCCCCCCCTCACTGAACCCATCCCATCTCAGATAGCCACACCCCGAAATTCTGCAAAACCAAAACCAGCTCAGTAACCAGGAGATAGCAGCAGGACCAGCAGTGCTGTTCTGTATCGTAGGATTCCTTCACCAAGCCACTGTAGGACACCAGGACCAGAGCGGTAGGCAGCTCCCTTTGAACATCATTAGACAAGGCGAGGGTGAGGGCCAGCTGGCACCAGGCAAAGGAGAGCGGCCACTGCCACCGATGTGTAATCGTTCTCTGGGGGACGGTAGCGTCAGCCAGTCACGCCCTTTTCTGTCGGTGTACTACAGTAGGTCAATTTACTGGTTGGTCCTGGCATTCAGCAGTAAGACGTGAGGAGATGAAGGAACACTCCACTTTAGCACTATAATAATAATAATTCATAATAATTGCTTACACTTATATAGCACTTTTCTGGACACTCCACTCAAAGCGCTCTACAGGTGATTGGGATCCCCTCCACCACCACCAGTGTGCAGCCCCACCTGGATGATGTGATGCAGTCATAGTGCACCAGGACGCTCCCCACACACACCAGCTCTCAGTGGGGAGGAGAGCAGAGTGATGAAGCCAGTTCAGAGATGGGGATTATTAGGAGGCCATGATTGGTAAGGGCCAATGGGAAACTGTGGACAGTGTCATATATATCCTTCTCCCAGACACTGGAACATCTGTGCATTCCCTGACCATATGGAAAAATTGTGCCTGTAGCTCCCTGGGAAAACAGAATACTCTTTCGTGTGTCAGTAATATGCATAAGAAAATGTTCCTGAGGGGTTAAGTAGGTTCTGTGTGATGAAGTTGGAATACAGCAACTTGTGAAAGGGATTTTTAAATGCATAATTCAGATGACTCCAACTAGTATCCTGAGAGATGCTCCCTTCTACCAGAGATAAGTCTCTTTTCCAACTACCGTTGATCCTCAGTGCTTTATGCAAAGAATAAAACTAGGACACTCATCCCAAAATCCTCTCCCCTGCCTCTAACACAAAGGGTGGATAGGGACTTCGGTCCCAGGGAGCTCCACGTTTGCAGAACAAAGACGTTTGCAAAAAAGAAATGATTTTGCTATAGCATGAGTGGAGTTCATGGAAGGTGCTGTACATCCCTAACAGTGTCTGAAACGTTATTAATTCCCTTATTTGAGAATTGTGAAAAAACGGGAGGACACCCTCCCCAGATAAGAGACTTGCATTATAAAAACTGGAGAATGCGAAAACCATTTTGCTCTGATTTTAATGTTGTGCCATTGATGTCATACTGCAGTTAGGTACAAAACACTGGGGTCAGAGAACAGCAGCAAAACACAATATGTCAGAGAACAGCAGCAACCTGTTGTAACCTTGGGGGAGAGTTCTTCTGTAGCTGTTGACATGAAGCTGCAGCTCCGTTATCTGACCATACCCAGTCTGGATGCAGCACAAATGACCGGGAATACATCTTGAGGACTGGTAAAGATAATCTTCCGGAGTTTGAGTTGGAAGCTGTGTCAGCACGTGTAGACTGCAAAGGAACAGGTAAAGGGTTTTCCATGCTGAAAGGCTGTGGAGCCTTCTTCAAGTGTCATATGACAAACGTTCTGCTTCTTCAAGTGTCATATGACAAACGTTCTGCTGATTTCTAATGTTTTATTGTCAAAGAATTAACACATGGCCTTCTTTCCCCTCCACACAAACAAACTGTATTGGAAGGTGAGATGTGTGGTGTTGTTGAAACTCTTAACCATTCTTCCTAAGTGTAGAGTCACTGTAGCTGGCTGTTTTGGAATGGCCTGTTGTGTTTCTCACGTCTCGGATCGCAGTTAGAACCCACAATCAAAAAGCTCAGCCTGTGGCTGGGCAAAGACTTTCAGTAGTTGCGCCAGTCAGGAAGCCTATATTTGAAATCCTACTTGATAAATGCAGTCTGAGTCGTTCAATTGTTGAGGATTTTTAGAAATCTGAAACAGATTGTTTGCGGTGTTCTGTTGTTCATGCCTACAATTAGCCATTTAGTAGCTTTAAATGCAACATCGTGTAGGTCTTTCATCGCACAATGCATCAGTTAGAACCTTACATTCAAAATCCCAGCTTTCTTTCCTGCTCTGTGAGCTTTATGGAACATTTTTATTGATATGTCGCTAAACTTAGTGGTTTTATTTTTTCATCAAGATTTGAAATAAAACAAAATGTTAAATGAACCCTAAATGCATTACAGTTGCTCTGGAAGAAACTTCAGAAGGAGCCACTTAAAGAAGCCGGGCTTTTGGGCAGGGATTAGCACTGCAATCTGTGACTGTCTGCCTGGTTAATTTGGACATCTTTTCTTTCCAAATGGCATGCCAGCAAGATTGTAATGACCTGTGAGACTGAGATCCCTACCTTACAATTCTAAGATCGAGAAACACGGCTGCACAAATTGAAACAATGGTATTGCTGCCTGTGATTTGCTTTTAGCCTGGCCAGTACAGCCTTTTAAAAATGGTATACTTTTTCCTTGTGTTTTTATTCAACGTGTACAAATATAACTGTTTTAAGTTAGATGTTTCCTTTTGCTTTTTATTCATGGTGTTCAAATATAACTGGTTTATGTCTGTTTTGTTGTTGTAAAAGAGCAACCTTTCCTTCTATACAACATGCTTGAAAACAGTATAAAAACATTGTAGCCATTCAAAGGCTGAGGGTCTCTTCTTAAATTTCAGCTGCCAGTTGTTTTTAATTACTTTTACAGACATGTATAATAAAGGCTTGCCTGACATACAGTACCACAGCCTTAATTAAGCTTATGGGACCAATCATAAACAACTAAATGTTGAAACATGAACCCTCTTCAATTATCTTACATTGTTTCTTTGTGGGGCACTATACCAGTAAGATATTGTTACCTAGCACTGAAAAAGTTAATCATTGCAACTCAGCAGGACACTGAGATTTTGCAAATACAGATGATCATTTATTGTTTTCTTTTTTTTGCAGTTTGGCCTTTGTATTTTGTTATTCTTGCTTTTGAGATCTCTTCAGGCAAGCCCGTTCCTTTCCAGATTAAAAACAGGTTGTTTAACAAATCAGCAGTTCTGTTTAATACTTCACTGCCCACATTTCTGCTCACTGACAGATTCTTATGTCATCTTGTATTGAGTCTGCCATTTTGATGGCTCTCTGCTGCTGAGCGTCTAGGCTGCTGTGGGCCCTGACGAGACCCTCTATGTTGTAAGAGAGGAAACAGGCAGGGTAATACGATCAATGTGGATATACTCACTTTTTCCTGCCATGATTAGTGTAAATAAACCCTTCATTGTCTCCTTATTGTGTCTGGTTTAATTTTAATGATTACCCACATATGCCTTTTTTTTGCCTTTGCAAGGCATTGAGTGGCTCTTAAAGCCTGAAGTATAGTTTCACCAAGTCTTCTGAAAGTGAGGCAAAAAAACATCCCTCATGTTAGAGGTCATGGCTTAACAAGGCAGAATGAATTTCCACAGAAGAGGACTGTGTTGTACTATCAATCCGTTTTTTAAAACACAGACATCCCCGGGCTCAAGTGACTCAACCAGTAAAGGTGCTGTGTCAGATTTAGGCCCTTTCGCGTGCTGACAGAGCAGGATTCTCCCAGCAGGCTTCAGTGAGCCAGGGACTCCAGCTTCCTGTGCAGCAGCAGTCTATGACCTGCCACAGGTCTTCTGCGCTTGCCGTGAGGAAGCCAGGTCAGCGCTGCTCATCCAGCCAGTGCTTGGTCTCCTGCACGAGGCTGCGGAGTCCGCAGTGAGAGAACGAATGACTGAGAGCACCTTCCGTCCTGCTGCTTTGTGCCTGTGCTGTGAGGAGAGGGACAGTCTCAGGAGGTTACAGTGAGCCCCACTGACTGTGCACAAAGGTCGGGGAGAGTTGTGCCAGTCGTTGGTCTCTGTCTGAGAGATGAACGGTCACAGCCACCGATTTCTCCCCACACAACAAAAGAGGATTTTCTCTGCTGTGTTTGTCACCTAAGATCCTAACAACGGGTTTGGATCAGCACTCTGGTGGTCCTTGTAGTGGCTTTCCCCGAGCTCTGGTGGTTATCATGGGGAGGGACTTAGAATAAAGAAAACGAATGCTCTGTAGAGCAGATGACTGCCTCTGCTCTTCCAGAGCTCGGAGCCCTTATCAGACAGTCCAATTAATAATGCAGAAAAGGCACGCTTTCGTGATTCCTGAAACACACAACACATTTCTCTGGAGTTAAAATAATCTATTCAGATTGGGATTTTTAATGACCACAGAGAATCAGGACCTCGGTTTTACGTGTCATCCGAAAAAAGATGACTTTTTACAGGATAGTGTCCCCGTCACTATACCGGGGCAGGGTGAGCACCCCCTATCGGACAAAGTAGCAACCTTAGCTTTCCCAGGTGGTCTCCAGTGAGCACTGACCAGGCTCACACCTGCTGAGCTTCAGTGGGGCTGCCAGCTGTGAGCTGCAGGGTGATACAACTGCACACTACTACACTTCACACTTCACACGCAGAGCACTGAAGGATGCCAGTCATAGTAAGCTTCTGCCCTTGCCCTTTGCTCTCGAGGTGAGCTGTCCTCGGGCGACCTGCAGGACCCCTTCCTGGTGAGCGTGCACATCATCACTGACCCGGGAAACGCCAAGGCCCTGCAGAAGGCGGCGGACAGCGTGCTCGCCTGGATCCACCCGGAGCTGCAGCTCTTCCGGGTGTCGGAGCGCGGGGCCTGGAGGAGGCCGAAGAGGCCCCGGCCGGGGGGGGGGGCGGGCCAGCCCTCTCTGGCCGTCATCCTCTTCCTGCAGGAGGAGTACGGCGAGGAGCAGGTCCTGCAGCTGCACCGCGCCCTGCGGGCCCCACCCTGGCAGTTCCACCACACCGAGAAGGTCAACGGGCGCCTGCTGCCCTACATGCCCTGCAGCCAGGACTTCTTCACCCTGGCCGCGGGCACGCCGCTCTGGGCGGTGCGGCCGGTGCACTACGGCAAGGAGATCGTGCGCTTCACCGTCTACTGCCGCCACGAGAACTTCCCCGACATGGTCAAGATGTACCAGCTGGTGCTGCAGAGGGAGCTCGCCCAGCGGCGGGAGGACTTCTGCTTCTTCGTGGTCTATGCCAGCCTGGACACGGAGGTGCAGCTCTCCCTGAAGAGGCTCCCCAGGGGCCAGAGCCCCGCCCCCACGGAGTCGGCCGTCGTGGAGTTCCGCGTGCAGGACATTGGGCGGCTGGTGCCCCTGCTGCCCCACCCCTGCACCCCCATCAGCGAGGTGCGCTGGCAGACCGAGGACTACGACGGCAATAAGATCCTCCTGCAGGTAAGTGGGAAGCCCACGGCTTCACACCTGCTTGCCTTTAGCCTGAGCTCCAGTCGCAGTTTTCACACCTGGAAGGGCTGCTGCCCCGCCCGCTGGCTCAGTTACGACACATGGCAGCTGCGTATCATATCTCTGGTTATACGCAATCTCGCATTTCCATACATCTGGGCGAATATTCAATTCCCACATTGGCCTATCGGATGACATTTCTGAAGCGTTTAAGCATCACTGCTACAGTAGATAACACTTCAGAGGTGTTCTGCAGTAAGCCCAGTGTCACCAGTGTAAATTTCAGTCACCTGCGTATGGGTGCAATAATGGGATGAGACTGGGACTAATCTCTTGGTCAAATCATTGTTTCTAGTTTCACAAAGAAAATAGCCCTCTGACAAAGACAAAGAGTATTAAACTCCCTCTGTCATTGCGTCAGAGATATAGAACACTTATGGTCATCTGATATCAGTGTCCTGAAGGAAAGACTCGCAAATACAGTAAAAGTGCTTGAACCTCATGATTCGGTGCATGAATGACTGTGTTACAGCTCCTTTTCATGTTTAGTGTTTCTATTGTTAAGTGTGTTCATATTTGCTATTTGTAATGATAAGGGGGGGGGTTCAGTGTGCTGCAGATCACCATGGACGTCTTAAAATGCATCACGTAGCTGGTCTTGTCTAGATTGTTTAAAAAGCAGGCAAATACCATATATAGTGCTAATAAAGCACCATGCTCTGTGACAGGAAACATGCAGTACTGAGCATGGAAAACAAATTAAAAGCTTGGATGCTAGACTGGAAATAAATCTTTGGAAGAGCTAAATCACGCAAAACAAACCAGCCTCTCAGTAAAATAACAAAAGGCCTTTTTTTATCTTTCCTCTCCCTCCAGGTAGCTATACTTTGCATCCTTTGTGCAAGCGTACAGATTATGATAGCCTTGCATTCCTTCCAACATACACAGCTTTCAGGCTCATGGGCCAAATTAGTGCGCAGGACCAGGAAGCTGCTGAACTCCACCGCATCACCTGCTGAAACACGATCATTTCAAAATGTGTTTTCCATAAGCCGACACTGTGAGGATGCATGAAAGCAAGGAGACCTCCTGAAGCTTTAGAGATATTAGCTCAGTGATGTGGTTTGCTTTGGCTAGCGCTGCATTCCTTTCCATCAGACCTAAATGTGGTGTGATGAATAGAGACTCCCTCGTCTCTCTTTGAGCACAGAGAGGTTGTGTAACAATACCTGCACTGGCGGCTTCAGAGGCAAGTTTATCAGCCCACAGGGAATCTCACAACAGAGCTCTGTCTGTCTGGACTTCTGGACTGGCTATCACTTACAGTGGGGATTTATATCAGCATGGAATTAGATAACAGCTTCTGAAATAAATGTGGATTAGTCTTAGGTGGGAACTGTTCCATTATGGAGATTGGAAACTGTGTGCCTCTGCTGTTCTCATCCCATCTGGGTTGCTGAATTGGGCTCTCGCCCTGGCGTCTTGGGATGCTTTGCTTTGTCTACTTCCACATTGACTCAAGAGCCTTTCGTTAAGTTGCAAAGTGTGAATGTAAGGGATTCCAAAAGAGATTCGGTGTGTGCCTCAAGTGCATGGTCAACTCATACACTGAGCTCACAAAGCAGCAGTGACATTGATATGTGTAGAATATATTTTAAATTGAGTAGCCAAATTTTAGGAGAGACATTCTAGTATGTCAAGTGCATGCAGTATACTTTCAGATGAATTGTCAAAATGGTTTGAGGGGCCAGTAAAAATCAAAATATAGATGTCACGACTTCAAATAAATGTTTAAGTGGCTCATATAAAAGAGAGGATGACATTTGAGCCATTGTTCTTATGCTAGTTTAAAGCAGATATTTCTAGTGCTCCAGCCAATACTCAAATGGACTGAAAATATTCATCGAGAACTAAGTCACAGTCTGGCTCGACCCGCTTGTCTGAGAGCTGTGGGACCAGGAGGCCGGGACCCCCCTACAGGGTGAGGGGTGACCAAGGGGCAGCTGGACAGGAGGAGCTGGAAGAGGGACGCAGGAGACAAGTGTGAAAAAGGAAAAGGGGAATTTAGGAAATGACATTAGATAATTATTATGAGTTAGGAGAATGAACGGCAGCTGTCATCTCTCCTGAACATTGGTTATCAACACCATTTAATATTTTTTGTGTATGTAAAGTATGTGCCATTCCCACAAAGATTCTGCTGAACCTCTTTTTAGATCATTGTCAGGGCATCAGGCTCATCTTTATGTGCCACCTGCTGACAGACAGAATATCCCTAGACTCAGTGAATCTTCGTTTACACACACTGCATCTGCTACATGTATGATAAGCTCATTTATATCCTAGGCTTTTCGTAGAGACAAACAGCTGGTGTTTCACTTTGTAGTTCTGCTGTGACATGCACTAATAAGATAAGCGCAAGCCACCTTCTGAAAAGGGTCAGAAATGAACTAAGACTTCAAAAGGTTACTGGAACAGCTGATCTCAGGTGACAGGAAAAGAGATTTATCAATGTTCATAGGTGTGTTTCAATATAAATGTATACTATGAGGCATTAAAATGCAACAAATGGTGGCTCCTATTCTCATTTGTTGTGTTTCTAATGCCTCTCAATATATTTCCTACAATTAATTACAATTCTTAAATCCATTGTGCATGATAATTTTTTTTACCAGGTTTAAAGTATGAAAGGAATGTTGTAGTATTAAATATTCTTCATGCAAACAACAAGATCAGCAATAATTCCTAAGAATAAGTGGGAAAAAACTGTACTCATCAGTCACACAATGCTTCACATGTTGACATTTACACAATTTATTGCTTTTCCTTTTATACTGTTTGCTAAATAAATGTTTTTGCATACCGGTATTTTAGACAGCTAAATTGAACCCATTTTGATGTGAGGTCAGGCATTTGCTCTGCCGATTCTGAATCTGCTGAAAGAGATGTGCTGTTCTGCATTGCTTAATGTTGCATGAATAACTAACTGCCAGAACACTGGACCATTGTCAGCACAGGGACAAGGGATCTCTGCGCTCAGACGCGCTTAGCACAAACTGTTTGAAATGCCAGGCTGAGCCCGGCGAAGGCAGAGCAAGGTAAGATAAAGGCACGAATGTTTCAGCCACAGCCACCAGCTGAGTGCAGCACTTCCTAACATGCAGAACAGCAGTACACTCCAGGCGGTCTATAAGATTGGGAAAGAAAAGAGTAATTTCACTCTTGATAAAAATGTTACTAATAACTGGAATATTACCAGTTAGTTTAGTTTAGGTTTATTTTTTTTATTTCCAAAACCTTCCTTTGAGGGTTCTACATGACAAGTAGTAATGATTAAGTACTTTTAAAAAATGTTCATTTTTATTAATCAGTGAATGGGTTACCTTTCCTCAAGCACTGGCAAGCACAGAGTGTAGAGGATTGTCTGAGACCACAGCCCACATGGTCCTGTATATTTAAGATTTAAGAGTGTATTAATGCCCTGAGAGGAAAGTAAAGCACAGAGGAAGCTCGGAGAATAAGAACAGTTATGTCTCCCTGGGAATTATTATATAGCTCATTTCCCTCCATTTTATTTTTAAAGAAAACACAGTAGAAGTCAGACGTGTGTTTTCTTGCCAGAGTGAAAGAAGCAGGGAGGTACAAGTATTGCTCAGAACATGTAAAAAAAGGGAATTAAACAGCTCTTAAAAGGAAAGATATTGTTGCTCTGTAATTAGTTAGGAAAAGACAAGGGCAGACAGATAAATTCCAGGGACTGAAGGAGCGCCCCACACTGGACAGGCTGAAAGAACTGAGCAGGTGCAGTCTTGAACAGAGAAGAGTATGAGGGGACATTGCACAAGTATGCAGACGGTACAATCCGGAAGTAAGTGGAAACGGACACAGGGAGGAGACGACGAGGAGCTGGGCAGGTTGACAAACGGGGGCGTGACGGCCGTGCGCTGGTGCTCGGGGGGGGCGTGGCCGTGGCGAACAAGTCCAGAGGGGTCCAGGGGGTCATCCAGGGCGAAGTCCAAAAGTCCAGAGCCGGGTGACCCCTCCAAGACGAAATGAGACGAGACTTAAAAACCGGTGAGTGGGATCCGGTGCAGGGACGGGGAATAAAAACGGGTTAATGAGGCCAGGCGCTCCGGGCCCCCAGATGGGCAGGACACCATGGTGAAGCCTGTGCCGTCGGTCACTCCAGGACTTCCGGGCGGCCATCTCCCAGTGCTGAGCCCAGAAGAGTGAGAGCACCAGGCTTAAATAAAGAGGGGCTGGACAGGAGACAGGTGCACATAATCTACAAAGGGAAAGAGCCGGAGCGCCCTTAAGAGGAGGGATTACGATCCTCCAATGGCATTGACAAAGCCAATCCAGAGGAGTGAACACTGAGCGCAAACCACAAGGCACAAGTGCAATATTCTTAATGCAAAGGGTTGTGGGAGTTCGGGAACAAGCTGCTCTACCATGTTGCCGAAGACGATACCCTGGCTTCTTCCAGAAATGGCCGGATGTGATCCTCACAGTGTGCCCACCTTAAAAAAATAAAATGGTATATGATTGTGGTCTAGCCTGTCTGGTCAAAATAGCACACAGTGTAAACCGTTTTTGGCGATATTAATACGAAATTCAGTCACTCACTCCTCAGAGCGCAATGAAAAGACGAGAGCTCTGCGCTTCCTGATCTGACCCAGAATTTGAGTTGCTCTGCTTGCCGGCAGTGGTGGTTTCCAAGCTTTGGCCTCAGTAGTGGCTGAGAAGAAGGCACAGGGCATCGCTGCCTTCACTGTGTCACCCAACTTCACTCGTCTAAGTGCACAGCTAACCGTAGCATGTTAGTTAGTGCTAGCCGAGCACTCGTGGGAAGAACTCCATGGGAAGAGGTAACAGAGAGGAAGAAACCATCCCTGCACTTAGATGCGTGTCTCCATGAGTTACCATTCTTAACGAGTGATGCGCCTTGTGAGTTTAACCGCAACCAAACCAGAAATGGATAACACTGTATCTCAGCTTAACTGGGCTTTTGGGCAAAGATCTGCAAGGGCAAGCGTTTATTTACATTTGAACTGTCAGGTATCAGTGAGCAAATGTTTGAAGGATAATGTTAACTGTAGGTATGGGGATGTATTTTGATATACTGTACAGTACTAGTACGAATTAAATCAACGCACTGCACATTGCGTTTCGCTGCACAATAACAACCATTAATTTGACAGTGAGGTCAGTTGATAATAAACTGGGAAACTACTTGAAATCCGGGGCCGTCTGTCGGTGGAGGCTCCTGTTATATTGGGGGTAACAGGAGGTGGTTTACATTGATCTGTGTCCGTTACATTTCCCAACTGTCTGTCTAATTATAATGCTTCCTGCTGTAAACCTGCCAGAGAGTCATTAGGAGCCGGGGTGTGAGAGTGTCCACTGTCTACCCAAGAGCACTGCATCCTCAGCCCAGTTCACTACTAACTATCCGACAGGCTAGATGAATGGCCCCCTCTCAGGGGTGGAGTCTTAGCTACCCTGTCAACAGGTGGTACTGTAAAAGGCACAAAGCAAAGGACGACCTCAAGGTTTCTGACTGAGGACCAGAGGGAAGGCTTGGCTCACGCCCAGGAGTCGGACGCCAAAAACTCGAAAACTCTCTGAATACACGATGGTACCCTGGTGCTCGGTCTCGTTTGTCTCGTGTGTCAGTGTTTCCACTGAGAGCGTGCTACTGTGTGCCACAAGCAGCAGGCCTCCCCAACCAAGGGCCTCTGGCCGTTTTAAGGGCCTGCCCTCCCTCTTCTGGAAGCAGCAGGTCTCTACATCACAGATCGAACCTCTTTATTGATGAAGAAGAGGGAGAGGAAAGGAGAGGAGCCATGTTAAACTGCGCTTCCTACTCAAACTTCATAAAATCTTGAGAAAACAGTTGGAGTTTCCGATCTTTGCCAGTAGTGAGCGACGATGCTCAGAAACAGGCCGTCAGGATGGACTGATTCTGCAATCAAAACTTTTCTTAATATTGTGATTACGGTACTTGGTTAATTAAAAATACGTTTAGTGCTTACTCATACCGAAACTAGCTGGCCACTCTGGACAAGCGTTGGTTAATCTGCTGTGCTTGAGCAATCGAGCTCTATCTCCGAGGTACAACAAATACAATCCAGCCGTTTTGAGTTGGAAACTGTTTCCAGGGCCCAATTAGTGCTGAAGTAGAAAGTTGAGATGTTCTTAACTGGAAACAGGAGAGAAACAGTAGGTCGGATATTTATTCTCTGTTATTCCAGCGGTGCACTGAGCCTAGTGATGTGATTGCACAGAAGGTCACATTCCAATGAGAATAACAAGCAGGTCCATTCAAAACACTCCTCTGACTAAAAACAATGCAATCTGAATAAAACATTATTTGAAGAAACATGCCCATAAATAGGTCCTTTGTTTATTAGCGGTCTGATAGTCGTTACCAGTGTGGCCAGTGTGGTGTAATAGGCTGTCCTATAAGCATTTCTGTCATTGAAACTCCGATCATCCTATTATTTACATTTTACAAAGCTATCCTATCAAGTGCTCAGCAATCTCTGAAGGCCACATGCCGTGACATGATTAAATCCCTGCTGATGTCAATATGATTGTTTCATTTTGGGGGGGCTTGTGATCTGGGGATTTAAAGGGAAGACACCGGGTTTTGTCGTGAAACACTGTGTCGATTGCAGAGCAGGGCTTGAGGACACCGGGCAGCAGCAACGTCTTTACAGCTGTATAACCTGCTGCTTCTCAGGGCTCAGCCACAGCCCACGTCAAGGAAGACAACCCCGGTGAAAGGTCTCGGCAAGCTTCTCGCAGCTGGTGTGAGAACTGCACTCTGATATAACGAGTTCCATATGTCGTGTGATTTGTGAGCTACCGGGTTTGATGAAAGGGGCAGTAAAAACAAGAAACAGTAAAAACAGGTGTCACATTAATATTAGAATCACTGTACCCAGAAGAGGGTTCTGGAATCTTAAGAACGACAACAGCATTCACCAACAATTTATCGCTTGCTTTATCAGAAGGCTGAAGGAATGAAACCGTCCTCCTAGCAGTGCCGATATGTCATTCTTCAGGTTGTTGTTTTTTTAGAAAATTCTAACGCCGGTCACATTGCTGCACAGAAAAAGAGAGAAGAATGTTTTGCCAAGCACAGAGCTACATGTACAGTAATTACTCACCAAGGTTACTTCCAATTTCAAGGTGAATCGGAAACCAGTTCCTAACTGCGCTGGAGGATGCGAGTAGGAAAACAAGAGAAATGTTGTAGCAATGGCAAAAATAAAATCTCGCTCGTGCTGTAATCTCAGTTTCATCAGGAATCAGTAAGTAGATGAACACGGTCAATATTTAAATGTTAGACCACATCGTTCACATAGAAATATATATTTTAAATTGCAATGTGGACTGTAATTTCTGGTATGTATAAAATGTCTTTATAAAATGTATGTAGAAAATGAGTTACCATTTAGAGTGATGCACATATTTCATGCCAAACATCAATGTTTCATACTCCAGAATAAACCCTGCCTGCTCAGTGATGAAATATAGTTAATTTTATTAATAATGTGAGGTGAGAGACTGTGTTCAGAACCAGAGCTGGGAATTCAGAGTGAAGGCAAATACATTTAAATACACTCCTGGAAGGCACAAATAGCACTAGAAATAAAACGATGCCTGAAAAGGGACCCGTGTCCCTGCTGGGTTCAATACAGATTCCTCTTTTCCCAGAACGTTTACCGGGTGGTAGTTTGCCGTACCAGCGGTAGAATCTGCAGTGGAAAAGAAAAATCATCTACGTGACATGCTTCCCCGATGGCTGCTGTGATCTGGCCCTGACTAGATCTGCCCGGAGCTGTGGGAGACCGAGCTGCAGCTGTTCCAGTCTGCTGCCCTCTCTATCCCACCTTTCCGAGTCCTTCCCCAGAATGAAATATTTCATGCTGTGCGAACGCTAGCGAAAGGCACGAAGCCGCGCAGCCGTTGCTTTGATCCGAAGACTGTCTCTCGGGCGTGGGCGTGAGGAACAGCGATCTCCGTGCGCCCGCGGTAATCTGGCTCCTGTTTCTGTGGCCCCTCCAGGTGCGAGGCTCCACCAGACTGTCCCGGCGGAGACACACGGTCGCCCAGTTCGCCCCCCCGGCTGCCGGGCCGCCCCCCGCCCCGCCGGCCGGCTGCCTCCACCAGGGCCGGGGCCCGGTCTCCTACAGGAGCCGCCGGTACCACAGGACCGCCTCGCGGGCCCGGCAGCAGCACCGGCTCTCCCAGCAGGACCTGCCGGGCGTGAGCGGCGGGGAGCGGGAGCGGGAGGGGAGCCGGGGGCTCAGCGCGGAGCCCGCGGGCTCCTTCTGGACCGGCCACCGGACCCGCTCCCTCCTGTGCCTCCCGACCGCCCGCGACGGCCTCCCCGACCCCGGCTCCCGCTTCGACATCGACGCCCTGGTGGGGGCCGAGGAGACGGACGTGGACACGGGCCGCAGGGTCGCCGGTGGGGACATGTCTGTCGTATCGGCCTACGCCCGCCCCCCCCAGAGGCCGCCCCCCCGGCCCAGGCCCCTCTCGGCGTCGGGCAACCCCCTCCCCTCCTTCGGGGGACTCTGGTGCGGACCGCGGCCCCCCCCGGCCTGCTCCCCCCTCCGGGACCGGGCCTCCTCGCCGTGGCCCTTCTCTCCCCGGCCCCCGCGGCCCCACAGCGCCTCCCTCCCGCCCTGCTGGCGCCCGCCCTCCGCGGCAGACAGCGGCCAGGGGCCAGAGACGCAGGACTGCGCCCCCGGAGGGGGACCGGCCGAAGAAGAGGAGCAGGAGTTCTTCATCTAGACCTGAGCGGCCTGGCTCACGCCGAGGAGAGGAGGGGGCTCAATCATCGCTGCACAGCACCGGGGGAGCAGGAGGAAGCTCTACCCTGGACCACTCAGAAGAGAGGAGGGCCTGTTGCTGCCAGGAGCTGAAAAATTGATTTACACTCTTGCTGATGACATCTTTTTGAGCTCGTCTCAAGCACATAACTACCCAGGCCTGCCCTCCTGTTCTGAGAGAGGAGCGAGGGTGACGCGCTCTTCACTAGTCGCACTGTGACACTGTTGAGTGAAATGCAGTATTAGGCAGCTCTTGGAAAGCTCTAAATAAAAATGCACTAAGTATACTGAGAAACCACTGACTAAGATGCTTTCAAAGCCATGTTTGTTATTGTTTGTGTGTAGTTTTGCTATGAAAAACATGTTACTAAAACAAATGTTACTGATCTCTCCTTCCTGTAATCTCATCTACTCCGTGAGTCGTGAAAAGAGCAATGGCAAAACAAAACAACGACAATAAACAAGACTCAGACAAGTGAAATCCAGCCTCTGATATAAAGCGGGAAAATAACAGAAGATTTTGCGAGGAATGCCATGTGAAATTCTGAAAGCAGAAATGAAAATCGGTAACAATATGCGAGCGCTTTTGATCCACAGCAAATGGGAATACATCAGAATTAGAAAACTGATGTGCTGGGAGAGAGCTTTGTATTGTTAGCTAAAAGAGCCGCACAGAACTTTGTTTAAAGCCGTTTCACCAAAACAGCCAAGTTCGTTTCTTCCTGTTGGACCCCTGTCTAGCTTCTTACGCAGGGCATGAAGCTGTGTTTAGGAAGCTAGATGGCTCTTAAACCTGCCTGAAAGCTGAGAAATGGTGAAGCATACAGTACAAACACTCAGATTCCACAGTTGCTGGTCAGTTCTGTATAACGAACAAAATCAATGGAGGCTCGCTCAAGTCCTCATGTCTCCAGTGTCCATTTTAACCCTTCTGTAACTTTAACTTTTTAACTATAAATATAAAACTGTCTTTTGCTTTGCAGTGCACATAATGTACAAGTTGATGTAGTTATTTAAAATACGGTCCATGACAGAGTCCATATCCCTTAGTTCTGCATTACAAGTGTGTGGTCTCTTTGTCAGTAAATTCCAGATGGTGCTCAGGCAGCTCACAGCATGTGACGCTGGGGTTCATGAGATGCTGGCTCCCCCTTGAGGACACCAGTAAAAGTGTCAGACTGAGTGTGCTCAAGTTTTTAAGTTGTGGAAGAGTATGTATGGTATTGTTTCACAGAGGACAGTTTGTGTCTTAAGATGAGGAGATAAAACGGGCAGCACTGTAGCATGGCAATGAACACTGCGTCCTCCCAGCACTGGGGTCCTGGCTTTGACTCTCCACCTGGATGTTTTGTGTGCGGAGCTTGAAATGTTCCCCCTGTGCTCACGTGGATTTTCTCTAGGTGCGTTACCGTTTTCCAACTCCCAAGAGCCACACACAAGTGGACTCCCAGCCCTGAGTCCTCAATCACAGGCCCGTTGAGCTCTTTTTTTATGTCTGGGGTGGATTGTTTTCAACCCTGTACCAGTTTCTGAGTTTTGGAACTAACCTCGTTCAGGGGCGTTGCCTGAACTGTAACCGAGTGGATCTTTGCAGAAGAAACTCACAGTGGGAGGGTCATCGTGAGCTATTAGAAACTATTTGCACAGAAACAAGGGGAAGCAAGATTAGGCATCCCGGAGTTTCCGAAACACGTTTTTTTTTTCTGATACTCAGGGCTCAGTGCAAGTAAACTAAAGCCATAAAGAAGCATGCAGATCTATTAAACTGATAAGAAACAGTGAGAAACGAGTGTCCTTCAGAATTCGGTTTTGCACATGCAAATACCTCACCCGCATTACCTTACATAAAAATAAGATTTCGTTTTTTGAAATCCAGCATTTTGACACTAAACAGGTGTAAAATGTATTTGTAAAAAGGAAGTGAGATTAATAACTAATTCTGTGACAGTGACTTAACTACTAAGGCCGTTATTTAGCATGTAGCATGCAATAAAGCACAAGCTGCCAGATAGAAATCTTAAAAGAGAGTAATTAGAGATCTCTTATACACAGATGAGACAAAATCTCTCTCATTGCGTAGAATCTAACATTCACCCACAACCTGTGATGTTTGATATCCTCAGTTTTATCCGTCCATCTCATTATATCCTTACTCAGAGTTTAACCACAGAAAATGAAACTTATTCATTTTGTCACTTTTACATTTTGATTACAAGAGGATTTTGGCAGCGATACATAGTAATGTAGGATATGCCTTGAGACAAATGCTTGTGTCTTTTTCTTGATGCATGAGAAATGTAAACAGTTTATCAAACTGGTGTAGCAAAGGTTTGTGTAGATCAGGTGCAATAAAGTGGAAGGGATGCTTCAATTTTTTAGAACTAAAATCAATTTTTTTTATTTGTTTAAGTGGCCCTTTTTGACTGCATTTCAGAATTAAGAAGAAAACTGCGGTCATTCCACTTATTAAATTGCTTAAAGTGTTTCAGAACCCAAAATAAAAGGTGAGCTTACATTAGATGAAAATAACATTCAGTTGGCAATATCAGGCATCATACACGTTGTTTGGATTTGACGTAGAATAGATGGAAAGATCAGAGCCTGAGGGCATTCTGCAGTGGCCAGTGCTGCCTGAAGAGGTACTGTATCAAGGGCCCAGCTCAGATAAGGGCAATGTAGTGACACGCTGAAGAGGAGAGCCCGTGCAAGACCAGAGGTAAACAAATGACACTTCTGCGAAAGAAACAGCACCGTAAATACAGTGATTTCTAGAGTTATTCACCACAGGAGGTTCTCCTACCAGACGTCCTCTAGCCCGTACGCATCTGCTCTGAGGAAGTTCCAGTAACAGGTCTGTTAACCACCTCTTCAGTATATACTGTGTGGTGCGGGCTTAGTTTGCGGGTTTCAGAGAAACTGTTCTCAAAGGCCTTCTTTATTCACTTATGTAGGACACCTAGTACTTTTATTCATCCATGGCACCATACGTTAGGAATTAGCAAGCTTTGACTTGGCAGAACATATGGCAAAGTTATATGACAGGGTATAGCAAAAGGCATAGAATTCAGTCTTGTGGAAAACATGAAACAGAAAGCAGACAATGAATGATACAGCTTGAGCACAGGGCTAAGGATTACAATAGTGTGTTACGCAGATGTAGCTGATGCTCCGTATCGAGGATCTATGTACAGTACATAAACTATACGGAAGAGGGGGAAGGACAGACCATCCCTGATGTGTTAACCTTCCCAACCCCACTCCCCCTCTGTTTCCCCTTGTTTTACTGAAGCCCTGTCCTAACCAGCTGACCCTCCCAGTCCAAGGACATACTGTATATCAAACCCGCGGTGTTACTGCCCCAGACACAGCAGCAGTCCGTGAATTGTTTCATTCCACACCTCGTCCTGTTTCAGTCCCTCCCCTCAAAACTGTACTTTTCAGCCGGCGCGTTGTCTCACCTTTTTCAAACCCCTCAGTCTCGGTCTATTTCAAACTCAGAGTACACAACACCAAGTATACTGTATAGAGAGAAATCGGCCTGCAGGCACTAGAAGCCGATTTCTCTAATAACCTTGGCAAAGCAAAATCTTATTTTCCACACTGTCTCTAGAGTGTCCCTATGTCGCCCTCCAGTGACCTAACCCAGTATTAACCCTAACCCTCTGTTACAGCAGCTGCATGCAGGAGAAGTGTAAATCCATGTTCAACTTCATTTGCACTCCAATGAAATAATCTCACGAAATAGCAGAAAACCAATGTAGGAGTGGCGAACAAGATACTGCACACATTTACTGCATACACCTGTCTTTCAGACCCTTAGAGCACTGCATTAACACTGGGTACCAATAAACACTCAGTCATTTACCAAACCACTTTATACCATACGGTGTTGGGGGAAGCCGGAGCCTACCCAGCAAGCAACGAGCGCAAGGCAGGGTACACAGTCCATCACAGGGCAGGTGCAAGCCAAGCATACATGGGGACAATTTGGAGGCCACGGTAAAGGCCGAGGGTGGAAATTTGGCCTGGACACCGGGATAACTCCCTACTTTTATCAAGAACTGATAAGAGTCAGTTTAACATCTCATCCGAAAGACGGCGCCCACTACAGTATAGTGTCCCCATCACTATACAGGACATCAGAGACCGCAGGGTGAGCACCCCCCGCTGGTCCCACTAACACCACTTCCAGCAGCAACCATACAGTAGCTTCCCTGGAGGTCTCCCATCCAGGTACTGACCAGGCTCAACCCTGCTGAGCTTCAGTGGGCTGCCAGTTGTGAGCTGTGGGGAGAGATGGCTGCTGGCTAAATACTATGAGCAGCAAATAGGCCATAAGACTTCTACCCAATAGATAATTTGTACAACGTCAGAGCTCTTCTATTTTTATAATAAACCATTTTAGAATGTGGTGCAGTTTTCAAAGTCCTGCAATACTGTAACTGAGATTATTGAAGGGCTTGGTCACAACTTCAAAAAACAAATGCACAAGATTGTGGATTCAATTTCCTTCAAAAAGGCTTTCTGCCTAACCTACTGTGCAGGCCCAGAACAAAGACAGCTGTTTCCCCTGCGGCTGCGGCTCATTTCCTGGTTGGCGCGACCCGCAGCAGTGTTCAAGTCTCGCACACACAGCACAGACCCTGGCCTCTAATCCAGATCGCTCTACCTCCAGGTACCTGGCAGCACACTGCTGTGCAACCAGCAAACATCACAGCCATGCTCTGGTAATTAGGATCAGAGTAATCCATGCTGACTGCATTTTTCTGTGTAAATGGGGCACGAGAGGTTCGAAAGGATAAATAACTTAAATTATTTATTGCGTAATTTTTCGAAGCACAGAGTATCCTCCATTCCCAATGTAATATCTGTCGCAGACATTCTGAAAGGTTTCTGAAACTTGCTGTGCAATAACACACCCGTGTGTCACATCCGTGTGTACTGGGATTTCAGGGAAAGAACATACGCAGGTCTGCGTACAGGTATAAGTCTCCTGATCTTACATACAGTGCCTTGCAATAGAATTCAGACTCTTGCACAGTTTTCACATGTTGTTGTTTTAAAGCTTGCAGTAAGGACACCTTGAAGTAGCAGTTAATATGTGGTATCTACACACACACAACTTACTCCACATAAGACAAAATGAAACAAAACAGAAAGAACTATTGCAAATAGATACTGTAATTAATATCAAGAAAAAATCTTACTTGAATTTCAAGAGAATACTCAGCCATTAAGACTAAGGAGCTTAGAAAGCAAGTCAGGGAGAAAGTCATCGAAAAGAACAGATCATGAGAAGGGTACAGAAAACACTTATGCACTGTATCAGTATAGCACTTGTGCACAGTCTGCAGTTTTCTACTAAGCAATGAAAGGACACTGTACAGTACCACCCAGACAGCACATAGATGAAGTTGTCCCTGCAAACTGAGCAGCCAAAGTCCAAGACCAAGCCTTGGCACCAGTACATGTACATCCGAATACCTCACAAAAAACATTACACATCATATCTATTGCACATGCATGACTCATTACAAAAAAAGTCATGACATACAGTAATGCACATATACTGCATAGCGTGTTACAGCATAAGCTGTTTTTACTGACACAATTGCATTTACTCTTGCCATTTATTTGTATTAACTGTTTAACATTAACATGAGCAAAAATTGCATCGAGTCAATATTCGAAGGTGATAGAGAATTCCCCCCAAAATACATCTGTAATTATTACCCATGATTTTTCCACATATTTCAGTTTTTTATCATTAGATTTTCCTGTCATCTAGAGAAACTCAACTCATTCTTAGAAGTGACGAGGACACTACACTGTAAAGACTGTACTGCTGTCCTTTGGAGGGGATGTAAAAACACGGCCCTGACTCTCTGTGGCCATTGAAAAATCCCAGGGTGTCTCTCGGGCTTCTGTGCTACTCGGTTTGTTGGGTTGACAATCAAAGCCCGGGTGAAGCACGCTACAGCATTAGGCTCAGCTTGCGGCGGCTAATATCGGTGCTGGCGCGCCCGACTGGGGGAGTGCAGAATAGGACGTGAAGAGGACAGTGTGTGGGAAGCAGGCCGAAGGCAAGGGCCAATCCTAGTGTAGCGGGAGAAAATCCCCATGGAGGCGAGGGCGTGATAGGGGACAGGCACCTGAGGGGGAAAGCTGACTGCGGCGCTGAGCTGCCTCTGTACCAGGAGGCCGGAGCGGAGCGTGAGACGGCTCCGACCGGAGCGCGCAGTGGCCTGGGAGAAACCCCCGCCGTCCCCTCCGTGGCCGACTCACCCCCAGACTGCTGAGGGTCGCGGCGCTCTTTAATGCAAGCACAGGGACGATTAAGAGATACCAGCATGCTTTAGCACTGTGGGAGAAAACCAGAACTCTCAGAGAAATACCGTGTGGGATGAGAGATCATACAAACTCCACACAGAGGATATTTTGGTATCACAACTTTGCATACCGTATCTGTATCATGAACGTTTGAAAATTTCAGAGTTAAGTACTGGTTGGCCATATATCCCAAACACCCGAAGAAGGCTCCGCAGCCGAAACGCTGTTTTCTTTTTTCTCTTTTCAGCAGGGAATAAACCTAGTATCGGTTCCTATATATTCCAAGTACGTTCTGTAACTAAGAAAGAATTATAATCAACTTTATTTTATAAAGTGTGTCTTCGCAAAGTGCTTTACAGTGAAAAAAAGACCCATTGGGAAGAGAGAGCAGAATTACACAAGTTATTCTAACGGGTTTGGAATACAGTAGGACAGTAAAGCGGCACACACCAAAAAGGAGATATAAAATTGGACACTGTTCATATCACGCACTATTTGATATCGTGGCTTTCCATACTCTACATATTCGTGTAAAATAATTTTGTGCGTGAATGCGCATGGGAATGAAGGTCAACGTTTTTAAAACGCTGTGGCGGGACGCGCCGCCCTGTGTCGTCTCTTTCGAGTTTGTGCCCAATTCCTGACGAAAACGACGCTCGCTGTCCGTCTCACTTTTAAAAAAAAAAACTGTGCTGCCGGTTTCGCGCACCGGACGCGTGTGCGAGTGCGTGTGTGGGGGGTTTTTCCCTGGGTCTGGATGTGCGGGTCAGCGGCTCTGTACAACCCCGGCCGGCAGGGGATTCCGACGGAGTGGTACGGACATCGCCGACAGAGACGACAGAGACGCAAACACTGACCATGCCCTTGAAACACAGTCTTATGACTTAAAAGACCTTAATCGGCGACTCAAGAGGTAGAGACGGCCATACGGAGTGAAAGGGGAAACGGAGAGGGAGCAGGGAAGAGTCAGGAAAACTTGGGAGTACTACACACTGCTGATCAGGAATTCAGACCGGTAAGTTGCGGCTTTTTCGTTTCAGTGAAAATCCATTCTGCAGCTGCAGCAGCAACGTGCGCATAACAGCTCAAAGGCTACCAGTCTCATCGCATGTCTTGACAGGGAATTACATCTACATTATATAATATCTAATCTAATATCTAAAATAATTTTAAAAATCAATATTTGACGATCTCGGAATGAAGTCATGTATTTATATATGCGTGACTGTTTGAAATCGTTATGTAATGCCTTTGACACTTTGGGAATGTTTTTTTTGCGCACTGAAGTTTTACCACGGTTATGAGAGAGTGTATTCATGAGACAGAAATGGCATTTGTATACAGTATAGAATTTGTATAGATACAAAGCTAGATACGACGCGTACACACTGGAAATGTTCCTCTGGAGGTCAACTGATAATATTCAAATATATGGGTAAGAAGATTAAGATAATGTTATGTATTACATCCGAAAAATCTTTTACCGTTCTGTAGTTTCATTTCCAGCTCTCCTGTAGAAAAAAAGTACGATTTATTATGTTATTGAAAACATACTTTAGCTTCTGCATTTCCTGTCTTTCCTATTCCTATATTTCCTATTTCACCTCATCTCCATTTCTATTGTATTACCTCATCAACCTGTTGCTGTCGAGATCAGGTCATTCACTTGAAAATCTTGACCGCCTTTTTCCCAAGGCTATAAAAGCTAATGAAGCTTTCACAATTAAATGTAAAAAAAAGGCATATTTAATGGAAACTGGCAGTGAGGACCGGCGCTGAAATGGTAATTGTGGGAAATATAATTTTTGGCCATCCCAATTGCGCGATGCATACAGTACCAGCTGTCAGCCGCCGCGATCTCTGCGCGCTTGGCTGGGCGACCCGCCTGCGACTGCCGATCGATCGGACGCTTCTCCTCCCTCTCTCCAGCCCCGCGATGCGTCGGCTGATGTTGACTTCGCTCCTCGTCTGCCTCTGGCTTGCCGAGAAGGGACAAGGCGACCTCCAGGATATACTGGGGCAGCTCCACACTGAGTTTGCCGTGCGGCTCTACAGACAGTTAGCGGAGACCGAGAACAACTCCAACTTAATCGTGTCCCCAGCAAGTGTTGCCGTGTCTCTGGGACTGTTACAGCTCGGATCCCGCGGAAACACCTTGGCCCAGCTGGAAACTGCGTTGGGCTACAATGTTAATGGTGAGTTTGCAGTTACTGCCGCGCCGTATAACCAGTTCCAGGCGTTTCAGCGTTGATTTGCCAATATTTAGATTGACAACTGTGATTATGCAATGTTGTTCTGTTTTGTTAGTAATAAAAAGTGATTATATCAGAGTAAATTGAGAAATATAAATGAAGGCAGCAAAGTCAAATTTACTCTGTTCTGGTCATACCTGCCTCGAAATTCATTCTCCTCTGGAGCTACAGCTGGGTTATTTAGCTCCGTGAAGACTCTCGTCTGACAAGACCTCAATGAAAACGAGTTTCTCAGCGCATATTCAAATGAAACGAAATGACGGGGTCATGCCGAATCGCACTCCCAAGTTACAAACTTGTAACTTGACCCCTCGACAAAAAGTAAAGCCAGTGTCCGGGCTAACGGGCAGGAGAGTTTAAGGGAGGGTCACGCCCCGGGCTGCCCGGATTGCGCCGGCAGTGACGGAGCTGTCCTGTCCGTCAGTCAACACCGTTCACCACGGCCTCCTCATCACCAACGTGGAGACCTCCACCTGCTTGTTCACGGATGGATTGAAACCTTGCAAAGGTCAGGCATTTCAGTGCCAGATTTCTTACGTTGGGTGCACTATGGTGTCTGGAGCCTTAATGCCTTCCTAATGTAATCTCATTATGTTATGGGGTCATACCAAGTAACCCTGTAATCAAAGAGTGTTGTGCATTTTTGATACACGCTGTGCAAAAAACGTTTTTCCTATGGAAGATTCACAGCTCAGTTGTTCTTCTGAGGGTTTCTGACAGTACCTGTTTAAATAGTACACATTTTTTTTCATGGTTCAGTTACTGTATGAATAAACTTACTTAGACAATTCTCAACATTCAGAAACAGCTTTTTAAAAACAAAATGTTACACAGAAGTGAGGTGCGGAATTAAAATAAAAATGTGATGCAAATTACAGTACAATTCTTTAATTTGCTTAATGTATTTTCACCTCAATGAACGGATTGTACATTGTAATGTATGTAAGGAGTTTGGGACACTTGTTATATTTTTTTTATTAAAACGAAGTTGGTATTGTGGAGTGGCGCAGTGGTCAGCACTGCTACCTCGCAGTGCTGGGGTTCAATTCCGGAACTGGGGTGCTGTCTGTGTGGAGTCTGCATGTTCTCCCTGTGTTTGTGTGGGTTTCCTCTGGGTGCTCTGGTTTCCTCCCACAGTCCAAAGACCTACTGGGAGGTTAATTGGCTTCTAGCAAAAGTAGTCCGCGTGTGCGTGTGTCTGTGTCTGCGTGCCCTGGAACAGACTGATGTCCAGCCCAGGGTGTATCCTGCCTTGCACCCCTTGCCTGCTGGGATAGGCTCCAGCTCCTCTGTGATCCTGTGCAGTTAGAACATGGATGGATGGATGAATTGGAGTTTGTAACAAGAGTTCGGGAGGGATGACGACAACCAAGTTCAATCAGACTTGGCTGTCAGTAATTAGCAAATTAGTCCTGATGTCATCTCCTCTCCTAAAACACCATAGACCCCGTACGAGATCCCCTTCTCTCTCACACAGACGTCTCCTGTATCCCCCCTCCAGGCCCATCTCCTCCTCTGCAGCTGCCCCTCGGTCACTCCTCACTCTGCTGGGGGGTCCCAGCCTCCTCGTCCTCTGGCCAGGAGGTCAGCCCTCAGCCAAGCCAATTAAGCCAGATTTTCACTGAAACTCCATAATCCTTTCAGGACACTTTATTCTCCGGTGCTGTTGTTTTATACTGCATGTTGCAAGGCGAGCAAGACTGTAGCGTATTATACTGTTAGCAATGTTCTCTCACTGCCAACACAGATCTCGGGGTACGAGGCTTTTTGCTCCGGATGCAGGAGGACATGACTAACTCCAGCCACAGCACCCAGGTACTGCTGGCATGTGCGCTCTTTGTGCACAGGGACGTGCAGCTCTCTCCTGCCTTCGCCCGGCACGGCTCGGCCTGGGCCAACAGCACCGTGCAACAAGCCAACTTCACCCGGCCCAACCAGAGCCGAGAGCAGATCAACCTGTGGGTCAGCGCCCACACTGCAGGTGAGCATCTCTGGCTGTGAGAGAGGCACTTCTCCAATGCAGGAAAAGTAGCCGGACACTCTTTTGTGAAGGCTCCAGTTTTACCAAAGTCCCCGAAGCAGCTACTAACAATTGCACATTGTTTTTTCTTTTTTTGACACATGGTTTGAATAACAGATTGTGGAACAATATTATCAAGTTTAGGATCCTACTTTGTAAGATTAAACAGTAGGTTACTGTATGTCACCTCAGATATTAAACCCAGCTTGTTGTTTTGAGCTCAGAGGTGTATACTGTACTTTTCCCTGTAGTACAGATGGGTATATGTCAATTGCATATTGTACCATTTTATTATTAGATTCTTTTTTTTGCTCTGAACATCAAATTACTACACTGCATTACACATTGCTGTGCAATTTTCTCATTTGATGTGAAGATGTGCTATATAATTAAGCTAGAACGCTAGATCACATCTGATTTAGAGTAGTGAGTGCATTTTTTCAGTTAATTTCACACTGATGGCAGTGGAGAGAAATGTCTGATTTAACAGAGAGAAGGATGTGTCACTTTCAAGTGGGAACAGAATCTCTGAGACTAATGATGCTGTACAAGGTGACTTAGTGACTTAGATTGGATACAGATCGTTGCTGTCACCCAGCCTGCCACTTTAATGATACCATCTACTCACATCATGAAGCTATCCTGTAGGCTGTAGTGACCAAGGGAAACAGATTGGGCGGAGCAGTGGCACTGTGGCTAAGGATCTGTGCCTGTTGCTGGTTCAAATCCCATGGCCAGCAGAGGAATCCTACTCTGTTGGGCCCCTGAGCGAGGCCCTTAACCCCAACTGCTCCAGGGGTGCTGTATAAATGGCTGACCCTGCGCTCTGACCCCCAGCTTCTCTCTCCCTGTCTGTGTGTCTCATGGAGAGCAAGCTGGGGTATGTGAAAAAAGACAAATTCTTAATACAAGAAATTGTATACGGCCGATAAAGTGGTCTGATCTTATCTTATTGCACCATGTAAGAACAGTTTAGGTCATAACTGTCACTTACCTCTTTTTGAGTCATATGAGCCCCTTTCACATTTGCACACAATGTACAGCAAGAATAATTCTGCTACTACAGTTTCGATTCAGACCATGAACAGGATGAGCTCAGGTGGGATGAGCTGGGGGGGACATTTACAGCTGTTGGTTCTAGGAGCGGGTCCAGACAGTTTGTCCTCTGTTTCCCCGGCCCCTCACACAGGGGAAATTCGGAACCTGCTGTCATGTGACCTGACAGGGTGGGGCGTGAGGCAGATGGCTCTGGTCACTGCCATGTTCTTCAGGGGCACCTGGCAGAGACAGTTCCTGCTCAGCGAGACTCAGAGCCTGCCCTTCTCCCTCGCCGATGGCTCCACGGTGAAAGTACCCATGATGCACCAGATGACCGACGTGAACTTTGGCAAGTAAACAAAAAAACAGCTCCGAACGCAAAATATAGCAGCAACAGAGAAGCTAGTTGGCAATATGTTTCCAGCTACACAAAATCATGAGACAATTTAATTAATCTACAACAGAAAGATTTGAATGGGCTACTATGAAAAGAACGTGACATTTTGAAGAGTTCAGGCATTTAATATTGTCATTTTTCATGCAAGCTATTTAGTGCAGGGGTATCCATTATTGATCCCGGAGGGCCTGTGTGTCTGTTGGTTTCATTCCAACTCAGCTCTTAATGAGATCGACAGGCTGTTTACTGGCTGAACTAGACCAGTATAGCTCTTCAGGAGCTGCTGCTTCACGGAGAACATACTGGCCCAACAGGAACAGGACCGGACAGCCTTGATCTCGAGGGAGAAATCTAAATAGAGGTGTATCCCAGGTCCCTATTTAGGGGTGTATGTTACTGAATAAACACGCACACTGCCTGTGATATCATGTTTTCACAAGATGAAGACAAGTGTATATTTTTCATATGTTTTTTAATCCCTTTGTAAAGTACTCTGTATTTTTTGGTTCAAATACAGTAATTCATTTAGAACTAGATTATTGCTGGCTTGCAGCAGAGACGAGGCCTGCAACACGGTGAATTGCCTGTAGAAATGTCAAGCTGCTGTTAGTATATTTTGAATAAATTTGAATGTCCACATTATAAAATAATAATTTCTTAAAAAACTGATGTTCATGGAGTAGGACTGCTGGCTACCATAGCTATGGTATGCTATGCTGTGTAAGAAATGAAAGTAAATAAACAGTGAATTCAGTGTTTATTATTTTTTAAGGTTAATTTGGCGGTACTCTTTCATTAAGACCCCGTGTTGTGTTCTGCTGTCCATCATGCAGGGCAGTTCCACACTCCAACAGAGTACAGGTATGCAGTGGTCGAGCTGTTTTACCTGGGGGATGCAGTCAGCCTGTTTGTGGTCCTGCCCACCGAGAGAAAAACGCCTCTCTCCCTGATAGAGCCACATGTCAGCGCGCATACGGTCATGCTGTGGACAGCGAGTCTCAGGAGGACCAAGATAGACATCTTCCTGCCAAGGTGAGAGCTCACAAACTGCAAGACAGCACCTCACAATAAGTTTGAACTAGCGCTATTTGTTAAGGTACAAACAAAACTCAAAGACGCACAATGTTTGTTTAGGCACTTAACTAGGAAGTTAAATCATTTTTTTCATTAGGAGTTATTATACAATAATTGCAATTTACAATAATAGTTCCTAGTAAATTACTTTAATCGCTGGCATATATATATATATGTGTGAAATATGAAACATGTGATGTAAATTTTTTTTAAAATTCTAAATACTTTTTTTTTTACAGATTTAAAATTCAGAATAATTTGAACTTAAAGTCAGTCTTACCAGCGTTCGGCGTTTCTGATGTCTTCGATCCAACCGTGGCCAATTTCAAAGGGATTTCAGGTAAGAATGATCAATTTAAATGTCGCCGGACACAGCAATTCGGAGGTAAAAAGTGATCTGCCCCATTTCTAATAGTGCATCTCCTGCCTTCCAGGTAGAGACAGCCTGTACGTGTCCGAGGCCACTCATGAAGCAAAAATTGAAGTCACTGAAGTGGGAACCAAAGCAGCAGCAGCCACAGGTATGCAGCACATTGGGTGAAGAGGGCTCTTTGGTCTAGCAGGATAAGAGTCCAGAATCATCCCACTGGTAACAGTGCAGCCCAGTACTCTCAGTGGTTGCCCACTGAGGCTGTACACAGGATGTGCTTTTGACTTTCGCTGCCTGACAGTCTGGGATCAGCTGGCAAGGTGTCAGCTTGACTTACTAAGGCACTCAGGTACTTCTGTGGGCTGCAGCAAGCTTACACCTGTGTGGCAGGTCCCCTTCTGAACTCGGCCAGCTTAGCCCAATACCGTGGCATAGAGGACCTGCACACAGAAAAACCCTTTTTAATATGGGAGTTAAGGAGCCGGGTCCAGACCGACCCTAACTTGCACAACCGTTTTTAACCCTGACTTTCTCAGTAACCTGCTGGCCTTTCTGTTTCCCGTTGTTGGAGTCAGTCACCAGGTAAATACTTTGCAATCAGCCACATGAGAGAAGAGATTGCACATCATTACTGCGGAGTCTAAGAAATGTGTTCAGAAAACTTGAAAAATGAGTCAAAGGTTTGTGTGTATCCCAGACTATCTAGACATTAACATTAGAGGTGCAACTGCGCTCTTCCTCATCCATCCATTTTCTAGCCTTTTATCCGGTTCAGGGTCTCAGGGAAGCCAGAGCCCATCCCAGCAAGCAATGGGCACAGGGCGGGATCCACCCCGGAGAGGACGCCAGCCCCTCACAGGGAACACAGACACCAGGACCAATTAACCTACCAGTATGTCTTTGGACTGTGGAGGAAAACGGGAGCACCCAGAGGAAACCCACACATACGAACTCCACACAGACAGTGCCCCAGGTCCAGAATTCAACTCAGGGCCCTAGAACTATCTAGACATTTTACCCTTTTGAGTCGAGTAATTCAGTTTAAACAGTAAGTTAGTAAGGAGTTACTGTAGGTCTTCAGCTTTGACGTAGGTAGTTACGATTTGCCTGCTTTTTTCCTGTCATTGCAGCTATGGTGCTACTAAAGCGATCGCGTGCTCCTGTATTCAAAGCAGACCGCCCATTCCTCTTCTTCCTGCGACAGTCCAGTACAGGTAAGAGAATTTTATCCCATGGGATAAATAGCCAATCTGGAGAGAATAACAGTTTGGTGTTACAAATGCAGAAAGAGAACCCTTGTTGAGCATGTAAAGCATCGTGATCACTGGAGTTTAGAAGTATTGGCCGTTCAGGCTTTTTGTGAAGCTTCTCAGCAATAGCTGACATGCTTGGTATGTTTGCATGAAAGAGCTGGAAGGGGACTGAAAGGGGAAGGCTTCACAACTGCTCCCAACCCAATGCATTCATGCGAGACGGAATGAGTCGAGGTACATTTGCACCATATACATGATCTTCACATGATCCTGTTGGCATCGAGAAACAGAGACAGGGCGTCAAAATCCATTTGCCTCTTTGTTAAGTATGGATGCCACAAAGTATATATATATAAAATATATAAGTGCTGTGCAAATAAATACTTCAGGAAAACAGTGTGACATTATGGAAAACAGCGTTTTGTCATCATCAGATTCAAACTGTTTTAATCTACATGCTGGAATATGTAATGGCAGGGATTCATTTTAACTGCTTGTTACCTCTGCAGGATCCATACTTTTCATGGGCCGAGTCCTCAACCCACTTGAGCTGGCGCCCTGAGATCCCCACCCAGCTCTGCAGACCTCAGCGTGCCTGCAGCTGGTATTTACTGCAGACCCACCGGAGGTTAACCGTGTCAGCACAGCAAGAAGAGGAACAATATTGTGTACATAATTGTAAATAAAATTTGAATACCTTTTTTTTTCCACCTTCAGCTTTTTTTACTGTTGTTTTGCAGCTCCAGTACTGTATATCAGACATTTTTTCAGCACCTGCGGATCTTTCAGTTTACAAGGATGATTCTGATCCACAATCCTTAAGTAGTCTCTACCCCTTACTTGTTTAATTCCATATAGTCTTGCTTTCTGTTGGTTTGCAAAGCACAGCTTATAAAATCTGTCTTTAACAGATTTGTGCCTATATCGCCGAACCCGACTTTGTAATTGTAGAAACCTGACAAGTGGCTGAGGAGGGAAGTATTTCTCACAAACACACAGAGGAAAAAGAAGCTGAACTGTGGAAAGGAAGTAAGCTTTCAGGCAACCTCTCCCAGATCTGTAACTGTGGGAACCCTTTCTCAGCACTGAGCCCCCCCATGAACCTTAACATGTCACTCCAGCTGTCACAGACGACAATGTGAAACTGTGTTGGAAAGTTTAGGTCACTGAAGAATCTCCTACGTTTTTGTTACACCAGGGCTACAACAGCTGAAAGGTACTTAAACCAATGAGTCTACTTAGAAACCTTAAGTCTTACACACTGACCAAATTAAACAGATCACTTATTAAAATCCTCTATGTATTATTGTGACCTGTTTAAAAAAGGAAAATGACTACACTGGAAGTTTTGCACACATACTTCAGGAAATGGCATTTTAGAGCAAACTGCTCATTTTATTTTGGCTTTCACAGCAGCCATCCATAGTATAAAACAAACTTTATTGAAGTTGATGTTTACAAAAGGCCCCCTTCTTCACAGCTTTTTCTTTAAATAGTTCTCAAACTTTGACTATTTACATCTATACATTGTATTCAAAATACTTTAATCTTACAACATGTTTATTACCTTTAAATTATAAAGTATATCATTATGGCAAAGACTGGTACCCACAAAGTGAGGGATTAACTGTGTGGCTAATGTAATTAAATCCTGAGGGACAGTCAATTATCGCCACATCTCATGCCCTGGGGATTCAGGAGGGGACCATAATCATTCTGTAACAGTGCGGCCTTGCAAGAACTGCACACCCTGTTGCTTTGACTAGATTGCGTTAGAGGGATTCAAAGACATGAACTGAGGACAACTCCTCTTCCATTTATGGAACAGCTCAGAGCTCATCTAGACTGCTTCAGTGTCAAGTCACTTTTCCAGATGTCTTTACAGTTTTTGAACCAAATTAAATATGTTGTAAAGACAATTACGTTCCTATAAATTAAAGGGCATTCAAGTTGCTTTGTTTGGCAGTTTTAGTTTAAAAGCTCTATAAGAGCAATATCAGAATGGAAAGGGGTATCATTTATCACTGAGACCAGCATGTTCTTCACAGTTCAAAACCCAAACAGGATTAAAAATGGACCGACACAAAGTCACCTAGGTTTTCATGTGCCATTAGCCATTCTAAATAAGCAAAACACAAAGCACAGTCTGGAAAAAAGACTTGTTCTTTGTGTTTTTCTCACATTTCTTCCTCCTCTCCCATTTAGTGCTGGTCAGCCTCACATTGTCGGCGTGCATATTTCTGTGAAAAAAAATATCGCCTCAAAGGTGTTTTTACAGCAGCTACTGGTCCTCCGGGATCCCCCAGCTGAATTTTGTTAGGAAAATGAACCAAGGAGCTTCTCACAAGCCATCCACGTGGTTTATCTGGCTGTAGCGGACGTGGATTTCTTCTAAAAACTGTTCCAGCTGCTCGATTAGCACCCGCTTCTTAAACCTGCAAGGACGAGAGCATCATGCATCCTTAAAACTCTTACTGTTCGAGCGGAATTCATGAGGACTGAGGGGAACCGAAGACTGTGTGAAAGGAGAATCGTTTACTGGGATGGTGGAAACTTGGCTCAGCTAACCTGCGGGCCATGGGACAAGGTGAGGAACCCCATGCCTGGTGAAAGGATGACCAAAGGGCAGCTGCAAAGGTTGACATGGAACGGGGGAGGAAGGATGATAATAATAATCCTTACACTTATATAGCGCTTCTCTGGACACTCCACTCAAAGAGCTTTACAGGTAATGGGGACTCCCCTCCCAGTGTGCAGCCCCACCTGGATGATGCGCCAGAACACTTCCCACACCCCAGCTCTCATGTGGGGAGGAGAACAGAGTGATGAAGCCAGTTCAGAGACGGGGGTTATTAGGAGGTAAGGCCCAATGGGAAATTTGGCCAGGACGCCGGGGTTACACCCCTACTCTTTTCGAGAAACACCCTGGGATTTTTGATGACATCAGAGAGTCAGGTCCTTGGTTTTACGTCCCATCCGAAGGATGGTACCTTTTCACAGTATAGTGTCCCTGTCACTATACTGGGGCATTAGGACCCACGCAGACCGCAGGGTGAGCGCCCCCTACTGGCCCAACTAACACCTCTTCCAGCAGCAACCTTGGTTTTTCCCAGGAGGTCTCTCATCCAGGTACTGACCAGGCTCACACCTGCTGAGCTTCAGTGGGCTGCCAGTGGCGAGTTGCAGGGTGATATGATGCAAAGTGAGCGAGGAAGAGGAGAGGGTGATGAGTGAAATATATGGGAATCTGAAGAATTTGGTCAGGATTAGTCAAAGGTTGTGGCAACTGAGCTTAATTAGTCTGGCTGCCCTCACCCCTCCCAAACTCTCATTAATTAACTTCCCCAAGTTTCCAAGATCCCTCAAGCTGCGCAAGTGGTAGGTATGCATACCACTGTAAAATCACTGGCTGTTTCTTTGCCCTGGTTTGTGTTTCCCTTTTATTACGTGATGTGAATTAATAATGGACTCCGTGGGCAGCCAAGGAGAACTCTTCATATATTAGTCTTATTTTCAAATGTATTGTAATGTACTGGTTTCTGAGGCTTGCCTGCCTAGTCTTAGACAATAGCCGAGATGTACCTAGCTCAATTGCTGAAAAAGATTGAAAAAAAAACTTCATACCTTGCTGCTTCTTTGATAATATTCTGTAGGAATACCAGCCTTGTATTTAAAGTTCCTTGGACTTGCTTCAGGAAATAGAAGATTCTATCATAACCTAAGATAAAAAGGGAAACATTAAAAAAATCAAAAGGAACACAGAAGCATGATTAAGATTAGAAAGACACTAGGAACACTGGGCTGGTATACTGGAAGAATAAAAGATGCTAAAATGTTTCTTAAAACTATACACCAAAAATAAGGATGGGAGCTTCTGAAGGTAGGCTGATAATAGCAATGATCTAGTTTTAGTAAGACTAATGGTGGTTCAGTTGCTGAAGTAGCTCCAAATGTTTGAGGGGGTGAGTGTGCAGGTCTTGCTGTGTATATTTCCTTCCCACAGTTGTTTCCTGCAAAGACGCCCCCCCCTGAGAAACTAGATCTGTGACAACAATCAGGGCGCTGCGATCGGATAAAACTGTGTTGGACATTGGGACACTGTCAGGCTAAAAGGAGACTTTTTAAAAGGAGAATCTGCCAATGGCACTGATCGCATCGGCCACCCAGACAAACAAATGGGCTTGGCTGACACCCCAGCCTGACACCCCAGCTTTAGAGACAGAGCTCCTACAGAAACACACTGAGCACACATACGCCTGCCTGGCTTCCTGATCTCCCTGGTAATGAGTGCTTTGAGCTCTGCATTGACCTCCTGTCCCTGGGTGTGCCTTAATCTCTTCAGAGGGCCAGGGGAGGAGCTGCACACTGTATCCTCAGGGCTGGGCTCCTCCTCCGTGCTGTCCTCAGACAGCTTGCTCAGACTCGAATGGTCATCCTCTCCCACATGGTTCCTCTGATTGACCGGGCCTTGACTGTACTGAAAACAGGATCCATCCGAGTCCGAGACGGGTTCCCTCTCCACGTTGTAATGGTCACCCATGTGGTTTCCAAAAATATCATTCTCAACAGGCACCTGGTAGCTTTTTTCAGGAGCTAAGGAGAAAGATAAAGATTTTAATCAAACAAACAAACAAACAAACAAACAAACTAACGAGTTGGTTATAACAGCTTTTAACTGATGGACACAACAGAGCTGATTGGGGTTTGTTCTACCATGTCTGTGAGGGCTTCCTCAATATGTAAGACTTCAGGCGACGCTTAAACCTTAATCTGAAGGCTTTCAATTCAAATGCCTTTCCTAATACAAGCCATTCTGATAAAAGCATTGTGGTAACCTACAATTGCTCTAGAACTGCAACCTGAATCTATCTGAAATTAAGGCTTTAAGGACTGTGGCTGAGGAATTCCAAGAAACCGGGTTCAGATTATTGCCACAGGTGCCAGCCGAGAACGGCCACAAATTCCCAACTGACAGTGGGACAACTGTCCCATTATAAGGCCCAAGGCCCAGTGGTACGTGCCTGCAGTCTTACCTCTGGGCACTGGTGTGGGCCTGGTGAGGTTGGCAGGTGGAGAGGGTACAGGGCTGAGGGGTGCAGAGGGGTCCTTTTCCACAGTGTGGTTGCTGGTATTTAGGGGACCCTGGAGGTGCCCGGACCTCAGGAGCGGGGACATGCACCTCCTCCTCTTGGGAGTGCCCTGCAAGCTGGGGTCCCCTGGGCGCTTGCTCTTATTCTGGGTCCCCGTGATGAACTCGTCCGTCTCGTCAATCATCATGGCCTGCAGCAGAGAATAACGGACATGCATCCCATAAGACCCCACAGAAAATCCTCCTGTCGTCAGGCTGTTTAATCCTCAGACCATGATTCTCGCAGAGCCCCAGTTCTGATTATTTTACTGGAGCTGTTTAGCTTAAAAAAGCTTGAGAAAATGTAAATACAACCTGACATGCTCTGAAGTTTTTAAGAGATCATGCTCTAAGCGTAATGCCATGAGAAAAAAATCATCTTTTTGTTTCGTGTTTCATTTTGAGGTTGAGAATATGATCTGTGTGCCTGTTTAGGGTTTGATTTGACCTCAGCTTACTTTGTGTTAAAGAAAAAGCAAAGATCACCTGTCTATAAAATCTTTATTTAACAGTCTAAAAATATGCATCAGAATTTACATTCTATGCTGGCATTTCAAATATTCTTTTACTGTGTTTTCCTATTTTACAAGCTGTGTTTAAATGTATGTCCTAGATGCAACATTTATGATAACACAAGAGGCTAATTATTGTTCCTGGTTTATAAATGCAGATAGAAGAGTTTCTGTTTTAGAGCCAGAGAACAGAGAACAGCCTCTCTGCTCAGCTCTATGGGTGGCTGTCCACAATAAACTTTCAATAAAATAAAATTTCAATAAAACTTCAGAACTACACCAATAAATGCTGTGGTTAACTGCATCCCTATGATATGACAGAAAGTATTTAAGAAAACTAAGTTATTAAGATTCATTTTAATGGACTATATTTTGTCAGTGTGCACTATAAGCCCACTTTTTCAACACTAGAAGAAAATGGATATTTAAATGCTAAACCCAGCCAAATGTTGATGGCAGCTAAATATTAAAAACATATTTTTTCTAATACTTTACAAAGAAATTGATCCAGAGCAAAGAAGGCTCTGGCTACAGGATGGAGTCACAGAGCATGTGTAGCGGTCACCATGAAGGGAGAGTGTTACGGCCGTACCTTCTTGTCCAACTTGAAAGGGTTGCCAAACGTGTGCAGGCGTCTGGGCTGGTCGGGGTCGACCTCACGCAGGGGAGAAGGCAAGTTCTTCAGGAAGTCCTGGTAGTTGCCCATCTGTGCAATGGCAATGCTGTGCAATTGATCTGAAAGGAGTGAAGGTGTAAGTGTCAGTCTCTGCCAGGGAACACACAGGCTCGGGCGCCAGCACTACTGCTTCATTTCTAAAAGAAGCCACACAACTCCTTTCTCCCCCAGAGCATTCCCTTTGAACACGTACACTGAAGGCTGCTAATAATCTGACTCTTCATTCCTGACTGAATGCACATATCCACTGCACAAGATTGAAAGGATTGTTTATGTCATATTAAAGAAAAGACTACGCTTTTTACAGGTTTCCAACAAAATCCAGTCAGTACTAATTATTTTAACAGCAAACTCAGACTGAAAGAGTCATGTTCAAACCAGTAGTTGACTGTTTTAAAAAGATTAATTATGCCGTGAAGCACGTTGGAACCTGCTGCACGTGTGTCAGTGCAACAAAATGACCGCCAGCATGTGTGCATTGAAACTGGCACTCCCGAGGATGTGACGAGAGCAGGCGGTTTATTCATTAAACACCAGAGGGAGTCAAACAGCCTTGCAGCCTGCTGCTTTAAACCGCATTCAGAAATTTCTCTAGGCCTCCGCGGTTGTTTTCTCCGGATTCAAATATAACTTTACTGAGCTGCCAAACCCTGAGCTGCAAAGACTGAACTGGTTACTGCTGTGCTCGAATGCCAGATATACAGATACAATCTGAACAATCTTCTTAAGAGGCAACAGGCATCACTCGGCCATGGATTTTTTAAATCAGCGTTATTACACCACAATCCAGACAGCACCCTGTTTCACATCAAAACTATCAGTGATTTGGACACCTCATTATGTACCATTTTGTAATGTACTGTCTACATTGTGTCGTCTTGTGTACTGTGCATGTCCTGAGAGACGGAGGCGAAGAAGAACGCCAATGCACATGTACATATGGCACAAACTGCTCTACAACTTCTCTCTACCTTCAGATGCAGGCCTTACAGCCATTCACCGTTACCTTCGTCTTGTCCCCTTAAGCAGCAGTGTGTCGCTTTCAACAGGTTTTTCCTCATTCTGCTCAGCTGGTCAAGAAGGTGTCTTCTGGGTATGTCATAGGGGTTCCGGAAGCTCTGGGGCTTAACATCCTGTCAAGATAAAAAGAAAAGTGCCGTTTCTAAAGCAATGTGCATAAGGGTCTGCAAGTGAATAAGCAGTAACCAGAGATTTTAAGTTTCCCTGAAGTGAACTGCCTTGGTATTGCTGGTTTAGTGTCCCAATGGGTAAAGGGAGGTCTGTATAATAAAGGTTTCTAGTGTTAGCGTGCCACACAACGTTCCAGTGTCTGAAACTACATGTTATCCAAAACTCACTGATGACAGTATTTTCACTACCTTCATGAATTTAATTTTAGATATTGGCTCTGTTCGGTAACTTGGTATCCTTGCATTAAATTCCAAAATGTAAAGTCTTGTATAATCTCAGCACAATACCAGATTCACACTGCATCGCCCTTTTTGCATATGCCTGTAAAATGTTTTAAAAGAAACTTAAAAGGTACGAGCTTGTGTTGTTATAAAGTCTTTTTGTTATTTTATGTGCATTAGAATACAGCTTGGCAGAAAAATACTCATTTGCAAAGGCAAGCTTTTACCAAATACCAAAGAGTGTATGCAAGATATTGTTTTACTAATGCCAATGATGTCTCTCAAGCATGCACGCCTCTTATTAGTGTGCAAGAGGTGTGCATACTGGAGAGAAAGTCTTCTCTGCAGATTCCTATAAAAAGCTTTACCACCTGCATTCTTTAGTCTCTCTCTCTTACAGCTCCGATTTCTGAGTCATTTTTTCTACACATGAAACTAACAACGATGGCCGAACCGGCAGCTATAAGGTTCAACAGCTGTCAGCTCATCACTTGTCATTTAATCATTTATAAGAAAAAATCCCACTGAAAGGATGTACTGTTAAAAAACGAACTGTAAAAATGCCAAGTAACCAAAATAAGAAGTGAGGAACCTCAACATGCACCAACACGCACCAGGTATTTCTTGCTCATTCTGCGTTGGGACCTCCAAGGCAGTACAGCCTTCATCATGCACAGCGCAAGGCAAAGTGCATAATCTGTACTCAGTACTAATCAGTACTCACCTTGTGGAGGATGCCAATGTGGAAGCCGGCGAATTCCTTGGGGTTGAGCGCCAGGGGGCAGAAGGGGGCGTCTCCGGTGACGCCCTGCAGGATCTGTTGGAAATCCTTGCGCTGTGCCAGGGAGAGAGGGGTGGGGCGGACCCTCACCTTCACCCCCATGTCCGGCACCACCTTCTTGCCCAAGGATGCAATTACGCGGTCTGACTCTACCTTGGCCTGAGGTCAGAGAGAGGCAGAAACTGCAGCACTAACGGACGGCTGAAGGATAAACAGCGAGCAGGCCAAGTGCACAGACAGAACGGCAAGCAGCGCTTTCACTCGGACAACAAGCTATATACCCTTAACACGACGTCCTGCCCGCGTCAAACATACGATCAGATCAGATCATATACAGGCCCACTCCAGCAAATTCTTACAAGAGATGAAGACGTTCAAGGAAAACCGCATCACCACACCGAAACCTAACATTTCTGATCTGAATGCTTTAATTTAGAGCTAAATGCATAAATATTAAAAGAGCTGAAAGGAGAAATGAAGATAGCGTTTACCTGGTGACTCAGCTTTTTGAGGTATGAAACAACACTGTAACTCAGACCGTACTCCATGTTTTCAGCTATCAGGTTAGGTGCCCCCATCATCCGGAGAGCTTTCTTCAGAGGCTGTGGGGGCACAGCAGCAGTTAAATATGAGGTCAGAGGTGAAGGAGTTAGAGGGTTAATGGAGCTATGCGATACAAACAGTGGCGTCCCCCGCTTTATGCGGCTTCAGTCTGTGCCAATCCGTTTTTATTGACCCCTTCGACTGACCCTTTTCTTCCAAGTATCCTCTTTATGCTAAATAAAAACTGTTTTTCTGCGATCTGTGGCAGCTGAGTAAATTCCCGCGAAATGTCCAGAAGCTCCACACAAAGTATAGACGCTCCTCTTCCCGCCAAAGCCCACCCAAACGCACCGCTCTGCTTTCAGTTCGGCACTCGCCACAGTGGTTTGCGGGTCTGCGCTACGTGTGCGTCGTGTTTACCATTTACGTCCGTTCCTGCTAGAGCTGCCTCTGTTATTACGGAGTCAAAATGGCCATTAACATTATTTCCAACCTCTGCATCCCAAATGAAAAGAAAAAGTACCTCCTTAACATTGGAAACAAAGTAATCTTTGTTTAAGATTACTAAAAGGAAGATTTTTTGGAGCGGTGGCTCTGTGGCTCAGGATCCGTGCCTGTGGCTGGAAGATTGCCGGTTCAAATCTCGCAGCCGGCAGAGGAATCCTACTCTGTTGGGCCCCTGAGCAAGGCCCTTCACCCCAGCTGCTCCAGATGTGCCGTATAAATGGCTGACCCTGCGCTCTGACCCCCAGCTTCTCTCTCCCTGTCTGTGTGTCTCATGGAGAGCCAGCTGGGGTATGCGAAAAAGACAAATTCCTAATGCAAGAAATTGTATAGGGCCAATAAAGTGATCTTATCTTATATTAATCTTCAATCATCAGTACCCACAACTCGTTCCATTGAACCTTACTGTCTGCCTATTTTGGTGAGTATTGATTTATTTTTAGTTTAGTGTTAATTCTTAATGTATGTTAGCATGTATTTATATGATTAAAAGGCATTTGGAACACTACATTTAACACTGTTCCACACAACCCCTTAAGGGACCATAAGACCCAGGCGGACAGCAGAAACACCACTGCATGGTGATCAAAACATTGACCAGAGGAGGTCAGAGGTCATGTCAGAAAATGGAAGATCATAAAATACCGGCCTCATTCCCATTCCCATACCCATTCCCATCTTAAGGGCTACAGCGACAGCAGGAATTCAGGAAAAGGAGAAACGGACATAAAAAGTAAGAAGAAAAAACTGTTTTCTGTAGACATGGCACTACGGAACTACCAACAAATTGTTAAGGCTCAGGTTTGAAGGTTATTTGCTGAGCTATAATCGCTCCAGGTCAAGGCTGGGGAATAAAAACCAGTTATAAGCTTCCTCTTCAACAGCTGCAGTAAATAAAGGTGAAGACTATCCTGTATTACTGTGTCTTGAGAATTATCTTCCATTCTGCAGCTCCCTGCACAGTATTAACTCATCTGACAAATTGAACGCAGCTTAATTTTATGACTTGGACCTAAATTTAAAATCAAAACGTGCACATATACAAAAGATAGGCATGATTTCAGTACTGATTTAATTAACACATAATGACAAAAACTTAATGTTTAGCATTTCAAGGTTATTTTCTGAAGCATAAACATTTTCTGGAGTGTTAAAACGACCTCCGATTCGAGGGAAGAATGTGTGTGTGCACTTACCCCAATATAATATGGAGGCATGGTCTTTAAGTAGTTTTCAAATGACTGTCGCCATTTCAAAGTGGGCTTCAACTTATGCACTTTGAACAAATCATCTGTAACAACAAAACTAAAGTGTAAAACAGGATCCGCATTCAGCCTCAGCCTGAAATGCAAATATTTCTCTCACAGCATAATAATAAATGCATTTAAATATTGCAGTAATGTACAGTACATTATAATACTGCACTGTGATTCACTGTGATATTCAGTGGAATATAGTAAATTCCTCCCAATTATATGACACAGTTCAGCCCACACGATCTCAAGTGCTTCACACGTCCCAGTTTCATTCACCACTGAATTACAGCAGCCACCTGCATCATCAAAATGTCCACTAGCAGTCTCACGACATGGTAAATCAGGCAGAAAAATAAGGAATCACAACACCAATTGAATTAAAGTGGAATGCTAGACAAGACAGACTGAGCAAGTCTAGAGTGATTTTAGCCAGGATACACTGATGGGTTAACATTTACTCACAGGGAGTGTTCCTTATGTATTGAGCAAAAGGATAGAGGGCTGTACTCATTTAGTACAAGCTATATTAATGCTTCTATACTCAGTGTGTCTGCAAACAAGGCACCAGAAAATTAGCAGCACTGTGCTTTGTATTCTTATACTGGTTCAGAGCAATTTCAGTGTGAGAGTGCAAATACACACAAACAACAAGGTTTCCTACTTTCTCCTTCTTGTTACAACATCCATTAAAAACCGATTCCAAAAAAAATTAAGGAAGAGTGTGGGCTTGTAATACTGTTGGCTGGAATACAGAATGTGTTCTGAAAACAGTCAGCTCTCACTTACCCAGCAGCGGCAGGAGCACAGGGTAGTTGTAGGGCATGACGAAGAGATTCACACAGTTCAGGGCTGTGCTAGCTTTCAGGTAGCCGAACGGATAACCCAGGTCACTGTATTTGGCACTATTGCAGACGAACACCTTCAGTACAAAATTGCAAGAGGAGGGGGGAAAAAAATCAGTTCTAAAACTGGATCGCCAGCTGCTGCAGCACATCCAGGTCGTCACACCGAAACAACAAGGGACGTCACCATCTAATCAACATCACCGGCGAACTACGGGCGACACTCAATACGCCCGGTGCCGACAGCTGCGGCTTTAAACCGGGGCACAGAAAGGTTCACGTGCGTCTCTGCAGTGTCCCTGCCGATCTGCGCCCTCTCTGGCGAAACAGGCGCGGCGTACCTGCCAGCAGGTGTGGGGGGACTTCCTCTCCAGGATGAACTGCGTGAGGGGGGAGGGCTCCAGCTCGTACTTGTCGAAGGGCAGCTTGTCGATGACCATGAGCTCCGAGTCCACGCAGGAGAAGTGCACCTGGGGGTGGGCCGAGCGGGGCGGCTGGGCGGGGGGGGAGAAGGGGTTGGAAACCGTCAGCCGGCACGTCCCCAGTTCTGCCCCCGGCTCCCCCCCCCCCAGTCGTGGTTGCAGGGTGATTTGGGATTCTGGTGCTTTGAGAACCGGGAAGCCAGGACCTTGACTCCCCTCCAAAGGCTGGTACCACCCACAGCACCGGATTTATCACCTGTTAACACACTGGGGCACTGGTTTGGAAAATC